GGGTCCCCAGAGTCTCACCTGGGACCGGAGTTCAGAGCAGTCAGGAGCTTGTGTCTCCCTCCCGATTGAGAAAGACAACTGGGCCCTCAGTTGCCTGCCCTTTCCGCACGGGTGCCTCCGTATCTCTGCACTTTGCTTCCTCAGCGTCTCTGTGACGCAGATTAGGTACTTTCCTCTTCTTGTAGAATTTCCACCCATCCAGCCTTCCCGTAGTTCTGGATGACGTCCATTTTGTCTTTTAGTTGTAGTTTTGAAGTTGTTGTGTGAGGCAGCAAGTTCAGGTGTTTACCTATGCCACCATCTTGGTTTCTCCTGAATCCCTTTTATTTTTTTATTTTTTATTATTTATTTTTAATATATTTTATTGATTTTTATACAGAGAGGAAGGGAGAGAGATAGTTAGAAACATCGATGAGAGAGAGTCATCGATCAGCTGCCTCTTGCACACCCCCTACTGGGGATATGCCCGCAACCAAGGTACATGCCCTTGACCGGAATCGAACCCGGGACCCGTCAGTCCCCAAGCCGACGCTCTATCCATTGAGCCAAACTGGTCCCGGCTGAATCCCTTTTAAAAATTGTATTTTCTAGTTAGTTATTACCACCACACGAGAATGCATTTGACTTTTGTGGGTTTGTATTTTATCTAACCACTTTACTAAAGTTTTAATTATCTATTGTTATGACTGGATTGTGTTGGTAACCTAATAGTCTACAAGTCATGATATTCATGTTTCTTTTCTAGTATTTTCCTTTTTGAATATTTTTGCACCAGCAAGAATGTTCAATCTGAGAGTGAAAATAAAAGAAGAATATTGTTTTTTGCTTATATTTTTAATAGATTCACCCCTATTGTAAAATGTAAGATAGTATATTGTTAGGTATCTATTAGAAATGGTTTGAGTTTCATCAGATGTTTTCTCAAAAATGCATTGGTAATATATACCGTGTGATTCCATATATACAAATATCAAGAGGTTCAAGAAGAGGCCCTGGCTGGTGTGGCTCAATTGGTTGGAGTGTTGTCCTGTATACCAAAAGGTGGCAGGTTCGATTCCTGGTTGCAGGTTCAGTCGCTGGTCGGGGTGCATGTGGGAGGCAACCAATCAATTTTTCTCACATGGATGTATTTCCCTCCCTCCACCTTCACTTCATCCCTCCTTCTAAAATAAAAGAAAAGTTCTTTTTAAAAAAAGTTCGCAAGTAGGGCCGGGACCGGTTTGGCTCAGTGGATAGAACGTCGGCCTGTGGACTGAAGGGTCCTGGGTTTGATTCCGGTTGGGGGCATGTACATTGGTTGCGGGCACATCCCCAGTGGGAGGGGGGGGTGCGGGAGGCAGCTGGTCGATGTTCCTCTCTCATTGACGTTTCTGGCACTTCTGTCCCTCTTCCTTCCTCTCTGTGGAAAATCAATAAAATATATATTTTTTTAAAAAGTTAGCAAGTAGACAAAACTAATCTATAGTGATAAAGTCAGGTAGTGGTTCCATCTGGGGTATATTAAATGGGAAAGGCCACAAGAAAGCATTCTGGGGTGCCAGGAATGTTCTATACCTTAATTTGGATGCTGTTTGCATAGTTAGACACATTAAGCGAAACCATATCGAGCCATTTACTTAAGATTAGTGTACTTTATTGCTAGTATGCTTTGCCCTGAGAGGAATGATTTTTAACATTTATCGATCAGATTATATTGATTTTTACTGCTTAAACTGTAAACATGGTATATTAGTGGTTTCACTTAATGTTAAACCAGCTTTACCTTTCTGTGATTAGTCATAGTTGAGACATATGTTACTTAACGTTTTTATTCTTTCATTTAATAAATATTTAATGCTAGGTGCTTAGACATGCTATGGGTTATAAAACCCATAATGGCCCATTTTTTGCATAGTATTTACAATCTAGCAGAAGAAATACCAACGAAATAATTACAAAAGTGTATAGAATTGCAACTACGATAAAAACTGCAATTGAGAGGCATTTCTTATTATAAGAGTATATTATTGGGGTATTTTTTTTCTTTATCAAACACTTAAATATTGCCTACTATGGGCCAGATACTATTATTCTAAGCACTTTACATATGAGGTGGGTAGGCATGGTATAGATGAGGAATCTGAGATAGAGAGGTTAAATAATAATGTCCAAGGGAATTTAGCTAATAAGTGGTAGAGCCACAAACACATAGGCTACAAATCCATGTATTTTGCTTGCTCTTAACCACCTTTATGTGACCACCTAAAGATGGAGTTTTCCTTAAGGAAGAAAGGGTTAGATTGGAGGATGGAGGATGAGTAGGAATGAATTGTTAAGAGAGTCTGAAAGAAGGCTCACGTGTTAAGAAGGAGCATATAATCAACTCCGTCATATGCTAAGACCGTGCTCGGCAAACTGCGGCTCTTTGGCCCCTTGAGTGTGGCTCTTCCACAAAATACCACAGCCTGGGCGAGTCTGTGTTGAAGAAGTGGCGTTAGAAGAAGTTTAAGTTAAAAAAAATTGGCTCTCAAAAGAAATTTCAAGTTGATATTTGGCTCTGTTGACTAATGAGTTTGCCAACCCCTGTGCTAAGCCATCAGGAGAGAGAATTGATTGAAAAAGGGCGTTGTAATAAGTAACAATGGAGATCAATCATTAGTGACTCCCCCTTCCCCCCCATTAAGAGTTTTAGCATTGTGCCAAAACCGGTTTGGCTCAGTGGTAGAGCAGTGGTCTTCGGACTAAAAGGTCCCAGGTTCGATTCCAGTCAAGGGCACGGTCAAGGGCACTTCCTTGGTTGCAGGCACATCCCCGGTAGGGGGTGTGCAGGAAGTAATTGGTCGATGTTTCTCTCTATATATCCCTGTTCCTTCCTCTCTGTGGAAAATCAGTTATTATATATATATAAAATTGTGATGAGGGTAGTGGAGACCCATCACTTTCTTTAGATTGTGACCAGAATCTGACCCACATTGCTAAGAACCACTGCCAACTAACGAACAGTTCAATGTGCAGTATTTTAATTATCACTTTAAAAATGGTTTCATTTTATAGTGTTGGGATTTTTTTCCCTCCACTCCAGTTTTATTAAGATCATATTCTAAACTTTCTAAATTTTGCTTACATTTTTCTTACTAATTTGTTTTATTAACTTGTGCTTCCACTTTGAAAATCTCCACTGTTTAAAATCTCTTACTTTTTTTGTATATATTATATTTTTCTTTATGACAGTTTTTATTCTCCTCAACATTTTTAAAAGACATTGTATCTTTCTCATTTTATCCCTGCCAAATACCTACTTGTTTTAGAATCATGAGAGGCTAATTTTAGAAGGAAACATGGAAATTTTTTAGCCCAACCTTATTTTAGAAATGAGGACGCTGGAGTCAATGAATTTTTCAAAACCATACAGTGAATTTGTGGCAGAATTGACCAAAGAACCTGGGTTCTTGGTACATTTCTCATTTCTATTGGTCAAGTGATACTGACCTTCTTACAATTCTGCTTCTTTGTATTATTTTTCTTTGCATGTTAAAGAGTTTGGGCCATGCAAATTAAATATAGTTTGGGCTTTTTATCACTCTACAATAACTTTTTATTTATTCCCATTGATTTGAAAAAGAAAGATAGCCCCGCCAGAGTGGCTCAGCGGTTGAGCATTGACTTATGAACCAGGAGGTCATGGTTTGATGCCCTGTCAGGGCACATGCCTGGGTTGTGGACTCAATCCCCAGTGGGGGAGGTGCTGGAGGCAGCTAATCAATGATTCTCTCTCATCATTGATATTTCTATCTCTCTCTAAAATCAATAAAAGTATTTTTTTTAAAAAGAAGGTAGAATGGGAAATGAGTTATAACTATCAGCTAAAATGAAAATTCTTTGCTATCCATAGATTTTGGCTGTCCTGTCTTCTTGTTACCACCTACCCTCCCCCCAGTAACTTGAAGCTAGCTCAAGCTGTACATTATCTCAGGCAATAGCTCAGCAAATATCACAATTTGTTCTACAAGATATTCTACATGAATACTTCTATGCCGAAGTCATTTTGGCTCAGTGGATAGAGCATCGGTCTGCGGACTGAAGGGTCCCTGGTTCGATTCCGGTCAAGAGCATGTACCTTGGTTGCAGGCACATTCCCAGTAGGGGGTATGCAGGAGACGGCTGATCGATGGTTCTCTCTCATCGATGTTTCTAACTCTCTATCCCTCTCCCTTCCTCTCTGTACAAAATCAATAAAATATATTTTGTAAAAAAGAATACTTCTATGCTTGGTAAAAGTATTCTTTCAGCTTGAAACTAGATAATTATAAAACGGGGTGTCTTGCTGGGAAACCATTGCTTTCATTGGCGGTGCTCTTCCTTCTTTTCCCAATTTACCCTTTGGGCATAGAATTCAATTATTCACTTGTCCTTTGGGTTTTCAGTATGCTTTGATTATTTTCTACCACACTCTCTGTCTAGTTTCTATTTATTCTCCCAGCCCAGGCCAGGTGTCATTTTTCTGCAAGCCCTTTCCTAATTATCCCTTCCCTTAATGTCCTTTGTGCTTATTTTAGCATTGGGGGAAACCAGGTCATTTTGCTATTCAAGTGAGCATCAGTTAGTTAAAGATTATATAGTTCAAACGTAACCAGTTGTAAATGTCAAAACAGTTTATTGCTCAAAAAATGCCTCATTGCCGAAACCGTGGATAGAGCGTTGGCCTGTGGACTGAAAGGTCTCAGGTTCGATTCCGGTCAAGGGCATGTACCTTGGTTGCGGGCACATCCCCGGTAGGGGGAGTGTAAGAGGCAGCTGGTCGATGATTCTCTCTCATTGATGTCTCTAGCTCTCTATCCCTCTCCCTTCCTCTCTGTAAAAAAATAATAAAAAATATATTTTTTTAAAAATGCCTCATTACTTTAGGCACAATTGAAACAGTGCTCCATCCTCTCTATCCCCCCCACTCCCCACCCCCCAAATATTGTGATTCATGCAAAGCACATGACTGTACTGATATTTTCCCCTCTCTTTTTAGGATCATGGCTGCTGTTCCTCAAAATAATCTCCAGGAGCAACTGGAGCGTCATTCAGCCAGAAAACTTACCAACAAATTAAATCTTTCAAAACCCAAATCTTCGTAAGTATTTTGGCTGTTTTGTTGTTATACATACGGTATCATACAGATGAGACATCTGCTCTTTCAACCCTTTCACTATATAGATGGGGAAATGAAGCTGCGAGGTCCATGGTTTTCCCACTTTGCACGTTAATGGTGGAACATGTGTTAGCAGCCCCAAGTAATAAATTGTTCAGCACTTTTGCACAGTACCTGGCACTTAACACTTGCCCAGTGAATATTGGTTGAATGACTTAATAATGAATCTTTTTGTAAATTTAGGCAAATAGATTTTTTTAATGTATTTTAATATAATTTTATATATTTTCCAAAAACAACTTATAAAGAAAATATAGCTCTGTGCTTCTGTTCTTTTTGTAAATTTAGGCAAATAGATTTTTTTAATGTATTTTAATATAATTTTATATATTTTCCAAAAACAACTTATAAAGAAAATATAGCTCTGTGGTTCTGTTCTTTCCTCCAAGATACACTCCAAACAGCTAATGATATCTAATGATTTATAATCCTTATTGTTCCTTTACCAAGTTCTAGGTGCTTGGCTTTATTTTTTTTAATTTTATTTTTTTAAAATATATTTTATTGATTTTTTACAGAGAGGAAGAGAGAGGGATAGAGAGTTAGTAACATCGATGCGAGAGAAACATCGATTTGCTGCCTCTTGCATACCCCCCCCTGGGGATGTGCCCGCAACCAAGATACATGCCCTTGACCGGAATCGAACCCGAACCTTTCGGGTCCGCAGGCCGACGCTCTATCCACTGAGCCAAACCGGTTTTGGTGCTAGGTGCTTGGCTTTAAAAAGTCACGTTGACCTTTATGTTGCTAAGAGGTATCCAGGATTCTTACTTCTCCTCCAAATCTCAGTATTTCCAGCAGTTTTTTACATTTTCCCCCATAAAACTTGGATCAGAGTAGCAACAAGTAGCCACATTTGAGTCTTTTCTCTTTTTCACTTATGCCATCCCCTTCCTCTGGATGACTATGAACTACAAGCCCGAGAAATAAAGTAGTGGGAATGGCCTGGATACTCTCAAAACTGAATAATTAGCCCTGAGTAGGAATGATCAGAGCATACAAAGTATACTTTAACTCGCCTTATAAATTTTAAAATTGGAGAGGGGAGTAGAAGGTAAGTTATATAAATTAGTAAAAAATTACTGTTTTTTTTTTTAACAACTCATTTTTTTTTTTAACAATTCAAGTATTTCCTTTTTCCAGCTGTTTCACTTTTAAAAAGAAAATACCTTCAGCCAACAACGTGTCTGTGACCTGTGTGTCAGTAGCAAAAACGCCTGTGTTGAGTGATAAAGATGTCAATGTTGCTGAGGACTTCTCCTTCACTGACACTTTACCTCGTACCGTGAGCCCGCAGACAAGGATCGGTGCCTTTAAAAATGTTGCTGCAGGACAGCAAGCCAAGAGAATTGGTTCAAAACCATTTTCGCCAGAACCGTTGCCGATTCCGAGGGAAGTTTCCCTGGCTGCGCAGAGCACGCCGAGTAGAAAGGAATTCCGTGATGCCACTTTCAAGAAATTAGAATATAGTTCTTCATCAGATTGGGATGACATGGATGACTTTGATACTTCTGGAAATTCAAAGGCATCTGTTACCCCACTCAGAAATCACTCTGTACGAGTAAGCACTGCCCAGAAATGTAAAAAGTCTAAGAAAAACGTCTTGAAAGCACAGTTTCAAAAGGAAAACACAGTACAGGTTGATCTGACTACTCCTTCCTCCGAATGCAAGCAAGTGGATTTGACTAAGGAACAGAAGGCGGACCCCGAATGGCTGAGCAGCGGTGTGATTTGTATTGACGATGGCCCCAGTTCCGGAGAGCTTACAAATGAAGATACTCAGAATAGTCACTCTTTAAAAACTCATTTGGGAGAGGAAAGAGGTAAAAATGATTTTATTTTCATTTCGGTATATCGATTGTATTCGTTCATCCAAAGCTACGTCTTGGAACAGTAGCAAATGTGATATAGCTTTTGCCCTTCAGATCTTTAGAGGGTTGATTGAACAATCTGTTGGCCACATGCTTAAGGCAGAATATACTGATGAAATGAAAGATTTGATTCTGCTAATAATCTCTGATTTTTACATATGAAAAAAATAAGGTCCATAGAGGTTAAATGGTCCATTGGCTGGTAAGTGGTAGAATTGGGAAGTGAATTAAGCCTTTCTTATATAATTATAATTCCTTTATGGCCTGCTGCCACCGAATATTGCTGTATAATATCTGATCGTGCTATTAAAGTATAAATTGCATTCAGATTATTTTCTGCTTAAGTCTCATAGTTGTAGCTAAAATTAGCCATATAGGGAAGTACCTACCTTATGAAAGCTGCAAATGTAACACTAAAAATTTTTTTGAAATATATTTTATTAATTTTTTACAGTGAGGAAGGGAGAGGGAGAGAGCTAGAAATATTAATGAGAAAGATACATCAATCAACTGCCTCCTGCACACCCTCTACCAGGGATGTGCCCGCAACCAAGATACATGCCTTTGACCGGAATTGAACCTGGGACCTTTCAGTTTGCAGGCCGACGCTCTATCCACTGAGCCAAACCAGTTTCGGCCTAAAATTTTTAAACACCTGAATTCTATAAGGTGAGAGCGACCAGAAAGTGATTGATAATAACCAAAGATATAGTCTAATCAAATGTGTTGCTGTTTATGAAGAGAAAATTTAGTAAAATATAAATTAAAGAGTAACAATGGGCATTGTGTTTTCCCTCGTAGTCAGGAGAGAGATTGAATCTGGTAGACCTAAGTCACTAGGAAGCCTTTGTGATAAAGTAAAAATAGCTTGTACAAACAATAGTGTTTGTAAAATGATCAGACTCATTATTTAAATATGAGTAAAACATAGAAAAACAAAAGTGCTAGTGCCAAGTAGGAGTTTCATAATTTAGCAGTCATGAAAATCCTTAAGCAGATCTTTGGCCTCAATCCAGTATTCGTTGGACTTACTCCAATTGACTCAATAATAATTTATGAAAAACAAGCTGACATTAAGGTGGGAAATGAGAGCACTCACGGAGTGGGGCTAGTGTTTATGACTTGCCTGAAGCACTCACTTTGCAGTGCTCAGACCCTGTTCTTTCTGTCTCATTAATGATTGAAATAACCTATGTCATCCACTCTCTCCTTTAGATAATAGTGAGAAGGAAAAACACTCGGAAGACACTGAATTCCAGACAGTGGAGAAATCTCCATGTGCCGAGCTTAATGAAGATGATTATGATATCGATTTTATTCCACCTTCTCCAGAAGAAATAACGAATTCTGCCTCTTCTTCCTCCCTGAAATGCTTTAGGTAAAATAGCTAATTCATAGCATTAGTGTTTGCATTTGAGGTATCTGAAATACTTTAATTTAGTTATGCACTATCATTTTTGTATAATTGCATGCTCTGCACAGTTTATTTTATATCTAAATGAAAACTTGAAAAAATTCCTATTGATACATTTGATTTAGTTGGTGGTATACTAAAGCTCTAAAGTTCCAGCTTTAACATACTACCAAATTTATAATTACATGAGACCTCCAAACAATTTTATGAAGTTGATTTTTAAAAAATATATATATATATTTTATTTATTTTTTACAGAGAGGAAGAGAGAAGGATAGAGAGTTAGAAACAATGATGAGAGAGAAACATCCATCAGCTGCCTCCGGCACACCTAGGAGGATGTGCCTGCAACCAAGGTACATGCCCTTCACGGAATTGAACCTGGGACCTTTCAGTCCTCAGGCCGACGCTCTTTCCACTGAACCACACCAGTTAGGACTGAAGTTGATTTTAACATGAGGAATATATGACACAAAGCTCACTTCTTATTTGGAAAGTTACTTAGTAAGTGATATGTTACCCCCCTTTTGTTTTTAATCTTACAGAATAGAATTGACATTGTATTTGACATTCACTGAATTTTATTAAATTAGGGACATGATTGTGGTTAATTGGTAGTGTTATGAGGAAAAAATACATAGTCCACACAGATCATCAAAAGCTTAAAATACAAATTAATAATTATTGTTATCTTCATCCTCATCCCAGTCTAAATCATAGTCCAGTTAAGTGGTAGATTATATGCTACGTTTGTAACTAGTATTTTAATAAGAACTAGATCTCTATAGTGTATTAACTTAATTAGAGAAGGAAGACAGGAAGGAGGTGTTTGTGTGCATAATCGAGTTTCTCCGGGTTTGTGTTTTAACAGGTGTGTTGGGATGTTTAGAGGCAGGAAAGGTGGAAGCGTGATTATTATTTGATGACAAAACTAAAAAACTATCAGCTGCTCTCGCCTCTTCTCCTCCCAGTAGGAATTCAGACAGAATTGCACAAAGTAAGAACTGACCAGGAGTTCATATAGAGTCTGGATTCTAAGTCAGTAGCATCATGTAGCAGGTAAAGCAGCTGAGGCCCAGGGAGGAGCAGGGGGTGGTCCAGGATGATAAATTAATGGCAGTGGACGAAGAAACAGCTCAGTGCTATTTCCTGGCTTTTTGTTTGTTCATTTATAAAGTGTGTATTGCGCAAATAGCACTGTAACCACTTACAGGATTCTTGTAATCTCAACATCTGAACAAACCAAACATTTTCTTTATCCGTGTTTGGTTTGGTTTTGTTTTTTGCATGTGTATGATTTTTGCTTTGCTGTAATCAACATCTAACTATACTTCTTATTCTGCCTTTTAAAAAAAATTATTGATTTAAGAGAGGGAGAGACATTGATTTGTTGTTCCACTTATTTTTTTAATATATATATATATATATTAATAAAATATATATTTTATTGATTTTTTTATAAGAGGAAGATAGAGGGATAGACTGGGATGAGTTAGAAACATCGATGTGAGAGAAACATCGATCAGCTGCCTCCTGCACACCCCCACTGGGGATGTGCCTGTAACTAAGGTACATGCCCTTGACCGGAATCGAACCTGGGACCTTTCAGTCCGCAGGCTGACGCTCTATCCACTGAGCCAAACCGGTTTCGGCTTAATATATATTTTTATTGATTTCAGAGAGGAAGGGAGAGGGAGAGAGAGATAGAAACATCAATGATGAGAATCGTTGACTGACTGCCTTCTGCACGCCTCCCACTAGGGATTGAGCTAGAAGCCCGGGCATGTGCCCTGATTGGGAATTGGACCACCATTTTCTGGTTCATAGGTCAGTGTTCAACCATTGAGACACACCAGCTGGGCTTGTTACACTTATTTATGCATTCATCGGTTGATACTTGTATGTGCCGTGATCTGGGATCAAACCTGCAACGTTGGTGTATGGGGATAATTCTAACCAACTGAGCTAACCAGCTAAGGCCTCTGCTTCTTTTCTCTTAGTATTATTTTAAAAATATTTTCTGCATTGTTATGTAGTCTTTATTCTTATTCCATTTAATGGCTATATAATTTATTGAGTTTTCATACCATAATTAACTTTACCTAGATCCTTCAGTATTTGGAAAAGGGTTATTTCCAAGGTAGATTCTCTCTGAACATTTTCCATTGCAACCTCATATACACATTTGTGTATATTCTAAAACAAATAGAATTTTCACAAATCATGCCTTATATGCAAAGGACACTTAAATTGTATTACCTTTTTATTGCGTTTTAAAATGCTGGTTATAACTTCTGAATTCGCTTCAGAAGTGTAATGGTCAGGTAATATATAACAGAAAAGAGAAACATGTTTTTGTACCCCCTTCCTCTCTGTAAAAAAATCAATAAAATATATTTAGTAAAAGAAAAAGAAAAATACCACTTGCTGGAGAAATCAGAAAAATAGCACTTGAGCTGGGCCTAGAAGAACAGGTGTGATTTGGATAGGAAGAGATTGGAATGGGTTTTTTTTTTTCATAGATGAGCAGAGGCTGAATTTCTGAAATAGCCAACACAGGACTTATGTGAAGAATATAAGTCATTAAAAAAAAAAAAAAAAAAAAGTAAGTCATGCACTGTGATTGGACCCTGGGGTTTTTGAAAGGACATAATTGGAGCCGAAAACCGGTTTGGCTCAGTGGATAGAGCGTTGGCCTGAGGATTGAAGGGTCCTGGGTTCGATTCTGGTTAAGGTCGTCCTGGGTTCGATTCCGGTCAAGGGCATGTACCTTGGTTGCGGGCACATCCCAGTAGGGGGTGTGCAAGAGGCAGCTGATAGATGATTCTTCTCTCTTCGATGTTTCTAACTCTCTATCCCTCTCTCTTCCTCTCTGTAAAAAATCAATAAAATATAAAAAAAAAAAAAAAAAAAAAAAAAAGAAAAGAAAAGAAAAAGAAAAAAGGAAGAAAGGACATAATTGGAGACAAAGTTGAAAAGTTCTCCTGGGCCAGAAGATGAATGACTTTGAGGGCCAGCTAAAGAGCTTTTAGAATAGAGAAGATACAAAAATATGTTTCTTCTTCTGTACATATTGTCTGACCAGCTGTGCAACATGTTAGAGGGAAAATCATGTACTCTACATATTGACTGGTTGTATGTTTTTAAACTTGTAGTATGTTAAAGGAGCTTGACACCTGTGACAGAAAGAAGGATGGCCTGAGGACTCCAGAGGACTTGTCAAAACCAGAGAAAATGCCTCTTCAGCAATCTAACCAAGAAACTAGCAGAGACTGTGACGGTACACAAAGTATTTTAGACATGTCATGTATTTTAATCGCTTACTTTTGGAAACCAAGCAAGAGTGTAGTTTTACCTGTGACTGTATAGCAAAACATGGCAAATTCTAGTTCCTTATATAGAATCATCCCTCCCTGCTCATTGGTTAGCCAGCATGTGCTCAGACAACTTGTAAACTCAAATTCTCACAAGGTAATTCATTTTTTTTAAAAAAAATATTTATTTTATTGATTTTTTACAGAGAGGAATAGAGAGTTAGAAACATTGATGAGAGACAATCATCGATCAGCTGCCTCTTGCACACCCCCTACTGGGGATGTGCCCACAACCAAGGTACATGCCCTTGACCGGAATTGAACCCGGGACCCTTCACTCCGCAGACCGACGCTCTACCACTGAGCCAAACCGGTTTTGGCGGTAATTCATTCTTTAATTTGAATACGCTACTTGTTAGAAAATTTTTTACATTAAACCAAAATTTGCTTTCCCATAAGTTTAATCTTTGTGAAGTAAGTCTGCAGCTCCCAGAAGTTTTTTGTGTGTTTTTAAGGATACATATTATTAGGTCTTTTAGCTCTTATCTTTAGATACTGGTTTCTAGACAACCTCCCAGTTCTCCTTGTAAAGATTCTGGGTTTGGGTCTTAAAGTTTAATACTTTTTTGTTTGTGGGATTTGTTTCTTAATTCATTAAAACGTTTTCTATCAAATATCTAGTAGAAATAATCCAGTCTATCTAATAAAAACCCAGTGGTTGTAACGCTGTAACAACCAAAGACCAGTCACCAGGAGGTGCCTTGATGCTGCATCCTGCATCAGCGGGATTTGACTCTGGGTCCCGCGAGATTTCACGCCCTGAGCCCCTTCTGGTACTATAAGACTGAAAAACAGCGGTCTCCTTTCTCCTAATTTCTACTTCCCAGAGGTTCCTTCAGTCTAGAAATTTGTGTCCTTCTATTCTGGAAAGTTTTCTAGTATTTCCTTTTATTTTCTACTTTTTTCTTTCACTCTTTCTGGATGTTAGGGTTCCATTATCTGTTTTCCTGTTTTCCATTTCTTCTCTGCTTTCTGGAGGATTTCTTCAATTTTATCTTTAACTCTTCTGTGGAATTTTTCATTTTTTATCAAATCCATTTCTAAGAGCTCCTCTTCTCTGAATATGTCTGTAGCACATTCTATTCTTCTTTGATGGATGTTGTACATACTGTGTGCCTAGAGGTCTCTGTGTTGTTTTTGTTTGCTCAAAAAAAATTTTTTTTTAATTTAAGTGCTTTACAATATATTTTTTAAAAATATATTTTATTGATTTTTTTACAGAGAGGAAGGGAGAGGGATAGAGAGCTACAAACATCAATAAAGAGAGAGACATCAACCAGCTGCCTCCTGCACAACCCCTTCTGGGGATGTGCTGGCAACCAAGGTACATGCCCTTGACCGGAATCGAATCCGGGACCCCCCAGTCTGCAGGCCGACACTCTACCACTGAGCCACACCGGTTTCAGCACCACTTCTTGTTTAACTCTACTTTCAGACTATGTTTCTTTCCCTTGTCCCTGGGGTTGCAAAAACCGTGGTCATATAACTCCAGAAGTTCAAGGTCTGAGACACCACGAGGAAATGAATGGGACATTGGCTCTGGTGTGACACAGACCTGAAATACAAACCTGTCTTATCCCACTCCTGCCTGTGTGCTTTGGCAAATTGGTTAAGCTTCTTTGGACTCAGTTTCTATAAAACGGTGAAAATAATATTTAACTTGCCAACTGGTTTCCCAGTAAAGTAACACCGCAGGCCTTCATTAAATGGTAGCTATTGTTATTTGCCAGTCTAGTGATCCTTTCAAAGAACTTAAAGCGTTAAGATTGGCTGGTTTATTTTTATGAACTCTTGCTAACTCTATAATTGTTTCCTCTCTCTGGAGCTCACAAAGCAGCTGTTTGATAACAGTGTTCTAGAATTTTGTACTAAATCAGTATCAAGATCATGGCTTGTTGGTTTTGGCGTTCACTTGACAGTTTTTTTGAACATTAGAACAGTGTTTGCTTGTCTTCACTCTTCCATCAATGAGATGCTTCAGATATCATGGAAATCTTGTTTGCAGTTTGCCTTTGTATTCTGAAGTGTCATCTGTCTAGATAAGAAGACTTGAGCTTCTCTCCAATGGCTACACCTCTCTCTGAGCTGTCTTGGCTTTCATTTCCTTCAGACCATTATTTACTTTCCTCTTTCTAAAACTCATGCCCGCCTTGACCAGTTTGGCTCAGTGGATAGAGCATCAGCCTGCAGACTGAAAGGCCCCGGGTTCGATTCCGGTCAGGGGCATGTACCTTGGTTGCGGGCACATCCCCAGTGGGGGGTGTGCAAGAGGCAGCTGATTGATGATTCTCTCTCATGGATGTTTCTAAACTATCCCTCTCTCTTCCTCTCTGTAAAAAATCAATAAAATATATATTTTTAAATATATATATATATTTTGGATGGATATGGTGAGATTTACACTTGAAGTTAGTAAAAAAAAAATCATAGTAAATCGATAAAACTTTATCTTCTGAAGGCCTTGGTTATCCTAAGAGAAATATTAATATTAACATGAAATTAAATAACATTACTACAGGTTCTCATGATGTACAATTAGAGACAATCTGATTTCCTATTATTTCACGGGCAGATGATAGTATAAAGTTGTTCATTTTGTTTTGAAATGATTTCAGATTTTACACACATGACTTTGAAAAACGTGTCTTTTTTGTTTTCAAGATACAATGCTAACACCATCATTACTTTGCAGGTAGCCAGGTGAGTGTGCAGCAGCAGCTTATCCAAGTGATGGACCGCATCTGTAGCTTAGTTGATACTATTCCTGATCATGAGCTGAAAGCTCTGGATTGTGGGACCAATCTGCTTCAGCAGCGAAACATAAGGTACCTTGATTTTTTCTCCGTCTGGAGTATTATCTGACTGCATTGCCACCACTCTGTATCAGAAACGTGCAGGGCAAAATGGTTAGCATTCTGATAGATTGTCACTATGTTTTAAATTTATTTACTTTTTCAAACTGTTCATTTAGTATTTTATCCAAATTTTATTTTTATTTTTTTATTTTTTTAAAATATATTTTATTGATTTTACACAGAGAGGAAGAGAGAGGGGTAGAGAGTTAGAAACATCAATGAGAGAGAAACATCGACCAGCTGCCTCTTGCACATCCCCTACTTGGGATGTGCCCGCAACCAAGGTACATGCCCTTGACCGGAATCGAACCCGGGACCTTTCGGTCCACAGGCTGACACTCTATCCACTGAGCCAAATCAGTTTCGGCAAGTATTTTACCTAAATTTTAAAAAACACATATATTTTATTGATTTTTTTTACAGAGAGGAAGGGAGAGGGACAGAGAGCTAGAAACATTGATGAGAAACATCCATCAGCTGCCTCCTGCACACCCCCCACTGGGAATGTGCCCGCAACCAAGGTATGTACCCTTGATTTTGAGAATCGAACCTGGGATCCTTCAGTCTGCAGGCTGACGCTCTATCCACTGAGCCACACCGGCTTCGGCGATTTTATCCAAATTTTTGAAATTGGAAAAAAGGGGCTGTCTTTTGCCACAGCTTGGGATGAGAACCGACGATCTGCTTTTGTGGCCTGCTGTGGTAACTGCTCACACTTACTGTGGTGTTGTGTGTTTTCTCTTCAGAAGGAAACTCCTGGCTGAAGCAGATTTTAACCCAGCTGATGCCAGTGTTCTTGGCTCCATGTGGAGGTGCAGACCCGAGGCCGTTGGTAACGCCACGGAGGATGTGGCATCCGTTTCCTTGCCTTCTGCATCTTCAAAGGGCGGTTCCTATCCTCCAGGGAGTTCTGACGAGTTCAATTTTCCCTCCAATTCCATTTCTTCTGGGGGATGTTCAGTGACTACCCCAGGAAAGACAGGATTCTCGGTCACCAAGAAGGATCTCTTTGAAAGACCGTTACTGAATCCCCATTTACAGAAGTCCTTTGTGAGTAGCAACTGGGCCGAAACACCAAGGACAGAAAAAAGAAACGAGAGCTCTCGTTTTCCAGGAAGTGTTCTTACAAGCACGGCCGTGAAAGATCAGAATAAACATTCTGCGTCAACAGGTGCCTTCGAGAGAGAAATCCAGGCCTCCTGTGACATTGATACTTTTGACATAGATGACTTAGACGATGATGATGAGTGGGAAAGTATAATGCAGGACTTGGCAACCAACAAGCCTTCCACAGCCGCCTACCCACCTATTAAGGAAGGCCGGCCTGTGAAATCGGTATCACAAAGAGTTTCTCCAGCCAAGACGGACTGCCTTCCTGGGACGTCTGCTCAAAATAAAAACTTCTCCGGGTCCACTCAGAAATGTAAGTGTCTATTTTAGAATTCTGACTTGATGAGAACTGATCAGGTTATCAAGTAGAGAAATGTTTAATGTCTCAACATATTAACATACAGGGCAGTGGAAGACAGATTTGAAGTAACATTTCTTTTTTTAATTTATCATTTATTATTTTATTATTATTATTTTTTAAAATATATTTTATTGATTTTTTACAGAGAGGAAGAGAGAGGGATAGAGAGTTAGAAACATCAATGAGAAGAAACATCAATTAGTTGCCTCTTGCACATCCCCCTACTGGGGATGTGCCCGCAACCAAGGTACATGCCCTTGACCGGAATCGAACCCGGGACCCTTTAGTCCGCAGGCTGACGCTCTATCCACTGAGCCACACCGGTTTCGGCTATCTTTTTTTTTTTTTTTTTTTTTAAACTTGAATGTTGAAAGTATTACATGTGTCTCCTTCTCCCCTCTTCCCGCCTATTAACTCCCTCCAGCCTGCTGCCCCCTACCCCAGGCCTTCACCTGCCTATTGTCTTTGCCCACTTGTTATGCATATATGCACACAGGGTCTTTGGTTTATTTATTACTTTCCACCCACCCACCTTCCCCCATCTTTCCTTCAAGATTCTGTTTTCTGTTCCATGCTTCCATGTCTCTGGATCCAGTCAGTTTGCCAGTTTATTTTGTTACTTAGATTCCACATATGAGTGACATCATATGATACTTGTCTTTCTCTGACTGACTTGTTTCACTTAGCATGATGCTCTCCAGGTCCCTCCACGCTGTCTCAAAGGGTAAGAGATTCTTTTTTTTTCTTTTTAAAAAAATATATTTTATTTATTTTTTACAGAGAGAAAGAAGGATAGAGAGTTAGAAACATTGATGAGAGAGAGTCATCAATCAGCTGCCTCTTGCACACCCCCTACTGGAGATGTGCCTGCAACCAAGGTACATGTCCTTGACTGGAATTGAACCCGGGATCTTTCAGTCCACAGGCCAACACTATCCACTGAGCCAAACCGGTTTCGGCAAGATTCTTCTTTTTCACTCCTGCATAGTACTCCGTGGTATAAATGTACCACAGCTTTTTTATCCACTCGTCTCCTGATGGGCTGTTTCCAGATCTTAGCTGTTGTAAATTGTGTGAAGTCACATTTCTGAAACCAATCAAATTGTTTCTTTTGGCCGAGACTCCTTTTAATTAATTCAATAACTATGTATTGAGTGCCTACTATGTGCGTGATCTGCTTTAGATTCTGGTAATAGATAAACGATGAATAGCTCCTGCCCTCTTGCTGCTCACAGTTTAGTGAGGGAAGTTTTTGGAGGAATGAAATCAGCCACCGTAAAGGCTGCAGAGAAGAGCCAAAATTAATTTTAAAACCTTACGTCAACCCTATAAAGTCACCGCAAAGTGTTTTGTTTTACTGAAACAGGTTTAGATGTACAGCATTCTATAAAGTACAGCCTTCTCTGTTTTTGTTATTGATGACTTAATACCACGGAGGTTGTTCTTAGATAGTTACACTGCTGACCTTTCAAATAACCTGGAATGGATTTATTTTTGTAGGCTGTTAGAACATGTCACACTTGACGTTTGCAGTTTACCTTGAGATAGTTGAGCACTGGCGTTGGCGTCGCTGCCAAAGCTGGCGTGAGCTCCAATTCTCTGGTTGAACCAGAGTTGCGCCAGCGCGGATGGAGAGCAGGGGGCAGACGTGAGTGACATTGTGGAAGAAGACTCAGGAAGCTAAGATGCCTGAGGTTTCTGACCGGGTGATAGGGGAAGTGTGACACCGCTGACAGAAATAGGGGAGTCAGGAGACAGGAAGACGTGGAGAAAAGCTGAGGAAGGCTATTTCAAGACTTGTTGAGCTTCCAGTTTTGCTAAGTCGTTTAGGTAGCAATGTCTTGCAGACAACTGAAATGCCTACAGGACTGGAACTTAGGAGTGGGTCATTCGGTTCTTACGCCTTCTGTGCACATAGGTGATGCTGAAGATCACAGGGCTAGGAAAATTCCAGAAAAGAGCCCAGCCCCAAGTGTCTGAAAGACCCCCAGATGTTAGGGGCAGATGGAGGAAGTGGAACCAAGAGAGGGAATCTAAATCCATAGTTGCCTTGTCAAGAGAGAAGAGGAAGGAGGCAACAGAGAGAGGGAGTGCTTTAGAAAAAATCAAGGAAAGACTTGAACTTGGCCTTAGCAAGTCTTTGGTGGCTTTGTCACTTGTATGGAAGGAAATGGGTACATGGTTAAAGAAGGAATTTGCTCTGGGGAGGGAGGGTATGTATGGGGGGGGCAACGTTAAAATATGTACACAGATAATAATTTAATTAAAAAATGTAAAAAAATAAAATAATAAATAAAAATAAAATAAATAAAGAAGGAATTTGCTCCTGAAATCGGTTTGGCTCAGTGGATAGAGTGTCGGCCTGAACTAAAGGGTCCCAGGTTCGATTCCGGTCAAGGGGATGTACCTTGGTTGTGGGCACCCCAGTAGGGGGTGTGCAGGAGGCAGCTGGTTGATGTTTCTCTCTCATCGATGTTTCTAGTTCTCTATCCCTCTCCCTTCCTCTCTGTAAAATATCAATAAAATATATATATATATATATATATATATAAAGAAGGAATTTGCTGTAGGGAAAGGGCTATCAATGATTTCGCAGGGCAAAGGGTAAATGCTAAAGAAAACTGACCTGTGACATTCACGCACTGCTTTTTCTTAACCTTATTTCCTTAGACCCGTCAGCGCAAAATGCACCACCCAGAAATCTGAATCACGAGCACTTCCAAAGTCTTAATTTTCCTCACACGAAAGAAATGATGAAGATTTTCCACAAAAAATTTGGTCTCCATCACTTCCGAACTAATCAGCTAGAGGCGATCAATGCCGCGCTGCTTGGCGAAGACTGTTTTATCTTAATGCCCACTGGTATGTATTTTTAGATACGAGCTGGCAGGAATCCATCGGCAGATGTGAAGTGAAAGCCCTTTAACAGAAGTAAAAAGGAACTTCGGCACAGTATTTCTATCATTTACCGGCCTCTAAACCTCCCGTGCCAGAGTAAGAAAGTGGATTACCTCATACCCTCTGTTCTAGTTGTTGACACGAAGACATTTATAGCCCTTTAAGATTTTCATCTCAAAGCTGGTTGTGTTTAACTGATATAGAATTTCTCTTTGGGAATTTTTTTTTTCTTTTTCTAGTCTAAATTAGTCTGGAACATGAATAAAAATGTAGGACTGGAATAGAGTTGTGACCATTTTCTGGCTGTTGATTTGTGACGGTCTCGTGTTCTCTGGTGGTTAAAACCATCAGCTCCAGCTGAAACCCGTTTGGCTCAGTGGGTAGAGCATCGCCCTGCGGACTGAAAGGTCCAGGTTCGATTCCGGTCAAGGGCGTGTACCTTGGTTGCGGGCACATCCCTGGTAGGGGGATGCAAGAGGCAGCTGGTCAATGTTTCTCTCTCATCGACGATGTTTCTAGCTCTCTATCTCTCTCCCTTCCTCTCTGTAAGAAAAATCAATAAAACATTTTTTTTTTTTTTAAAAGACACAAACATCAGCTCCAGAGTGGTCCCCGGGCTGAAGCACAGCCCTGCCATTTATTAGCGGGGTGACCTTGACCAAGGCACCTCATTCCTCGGACCCCACACATGCAGCGGGGATAATAATAACCTGCCTCTCGGAGTGTGATGAGAATTAAATGAAAAGCATTTAGCATAGTTCTTTCTTGGCCTGCCTTGAAGAGATCCAGGACTTTTCATTGTGCTATAAACGTTTATAGCAGCTGTTCGATGATTTATAGTCATCCGAGGCAGAGTATCAAATAAGCCGTTAGGATAAGAACCACGGAGAGTCTGGAGTTTCGGTCCTGGCATATGTGATCTTCCCCGGGCCTGTCTTATTGCCATCGTGGTTTAAGAATATTATCTGGCTATCTGGATTTTTTTCAAACTGGTTTTAAAATAGAGGTGATGTGTGATTAATAACCATTTACTGTTTCATTAACTTTGTTTAATCTGTGTTCTGTGTCAACTCCCAAGTCGGTACTCCAGAACTAAAGCAGGAAAGGCCCCTGGTTGTTCACTGGTTTTGGGGGGGGCTTTCCATGGTCCTTTGGGGTTTCGAGGGGGTGTTTGTTATTGTTAATCCTCACCCAAGGATATTTTTTTCATTGGTTCTTATACAGAATGGAAGGGAGAGAAACACATCGATTGGTTGCCTCCTGCACACACCCCAACCGGGTCTAGAATCGAACCTGCAACATAGGCATGTGCCCTTGACTAGAAATCTGAACACTCGACCTTCAGTGTGAGGCCCAACACTAACCATTAAGCAACACTGGCCAGAGCTCCAGGAGGTGTTTTTATGTGTCCTTCCACTCCAATTTAACCTCTTGGTATTGTGTGTGTGTGTGTGTGTGTGTGTAGTTTATTTTCAACAAAATTTGTAAGCTACTGATCTAGTACATTTTGGAGGTTGTATGGTTGAGACATGATAAGGTTAACTGGCATGTCTAAGTCACATAATCTACTGAGGGGTAGAACCGAAACTAGAAGTCAGCTTCCTGGTCTTGCCTTGACATTTACACATACAGACCAAAGAGAAATTTACTTACGACACTTGCAGAAAAGATGGGCTGTTTTGTTTAAATAAATAAATAAATAAATAAATAAATCAAAGTCTTAGAAACTGCCTGGCACAAATTTGTATTATTAGAAGGCTGATGAAGTTGAAAATCAGGGATTAATCATTTCAGTTACTGCTGAAGGTGTACTGATGGTCTTGCCGTTTTGAATTTGAATGGAGAGAGATTCCATCCCACCCCCACCCTTCGGTCTCAAAAGAAATCTATTTCTCTTCATCCTCTGTCAATGCACACAAATAGGGTTCTGCCCTTTGCTTCAAAGGAAGATTGGGAATATTATCCTATGGACAGGAGTACAGGGAGTATTCATACTAGTCGTTTAACAAAACTGAGATTCTAGAAGTGCCCTCTGGATCATCAAACCATGTTAACTGTGGGTTTTAGTATTCTATATTTTATCACATTTTAACTTTTTAAAAAATATATATTTTATTGAATTTTTTACAGAGAGGAAGGGAGAGGGATAGAGAGTTAGAAACATCGATGAGAGAGAATCATCGATCAGCTGCCTTCTGCACGCCCCCCCGCCGGGGATGTGCCCGCAACCAAGGTACATGCTCTTGACCGGAATCGAACCCGGGACCCTTCAGTCCGCAGGCCGACGCTCTATCCACTGAGCCACACCGGTTTCGGCTGATGAATTACTTTAAATATTGTGTGTGGTTTACTTTGTAACTTTGGCCTTCATGCTCTCAAGATAGGACCTGACAGATACTGCTTCGTCACTTCTCTTTCAGGAGGCGGGAAGAGTCTGTGCTACCAGCTCCCTGCCTGCGTTTCTCCTGGGGTCACCATTGTCATTTCCCCTCTGAGGTCCCTTATCGTAGATCAGGTCCAGAAGCTGACCTCATTGGATGTAAGTCAAAAACAGAATCCTCCCGATTACAATCAAAATGCTAATAAAAACATAACTTCAAAATAATTATGCTTTAGTGCTCTGGGCTGCCTTTTTACTTAATAGTTTGTGAATTATAAGAATGAAGTGCAGCTATTACATTAAGTTGTACATTTAAGCTCAAGTCTGAAAATTTTCATACAGGTAACCTTCTGTGGTTCCATCTGATTTTATTCTAGGCGAATGTATTTTATTTTTTTATTTTTTAATATATTTTATTGATTTTGTACAGAGAGGAAGAGAGAGAGATAGTCAGAAACATCGATGAGAGAGAGTCATCGATCAGCTGCCTCTTGCACACCCCCTACTGGGGATGTGCCTGCAACCAAGGTACATGCCCTTGACCGGAATCGAACCCGGGACCCTTCAGTCCCTAAGCCAACGCTCTATCCATTGAGCCAAACCGGTTTTGGCTAGGCGAATGAATTTTAGTAAGAACTTTTAACTTGAACTTTGCTGATATAATTTTTATTTAATATGAAAGGAGTTGTTTTTGATTTTTATTTTATTGCTGCCAGATCAGCATAGTTTTTTTTTACCTTACTCCCTGGACATCTTAAAATGCACGCACATGCACGTGCCCACACAGGTGTCCTTTTTCCTCCTGGCTGAGATTATAATAGTATATGAATTCATTCTACTAAATCCTGCATATTGTGATCAAACAGAATTATTTTCAGGGTTATGAGCCACTACCTTTTTCTGTTTTGTTTTTTTTAAATTTTATTTTATTTTTTATGTTGGATTTTCTTTTTTTCTAACTTTGGAGAGGAAGAGAGATAGAAACATCAATTATGAGAATCGTTGATCATTTGCATCCTGTACACCCCCTACTGGGGATCGAACCAGCAACCCGGGCATGTGCCCTTGACCGGAATTGAACCTGGGACCCTTCAGTCTGCAGGCTGAAGTTCTGTCCACTAAGCCAAACTGGCTAGGGCGTCGCTACCTTTTTCAACAAGACCGCTGCTTTGATTTTTCTTCCAAAGAATGTCTTAGTGCAGTGATGATAGCTATTGTTAAGACAGCCCTGATGTTATGGCCCTTTGTTACACATTAAAACCCTAAATACACATTTACCTAAAAAAGAATGCAGCTATACATTAGGACTGGATCTTTTGGATACTGAGTTCATGTTTATATTACTCACAAACATTAAAAGCAAAGGAAGTAAAGGAAAGTAAAAAAAAGAAGTAAAAATGAAAAGAATATTTTAAATTATAGTTAATAAGGGTTTTAAAAAAATGTCCTATGTGCTTTTTGTTATTTTTATTACATTGAGATGATCTTTCCTCTGGTAGGTTTGGCATGTAACTTGTAAAATACTTATAAGAGCTAAGAATAAATAAGATTAAATCAGATTAATGTGTAAAATTTACACTGTTTGCTTTTTTAATACTTAGATTCCAGCTACGTATCTGACAGGTGATAAGACTGACTCAGAAGCTACAAGTATCTACCTCCAGTTATCAAAAAAAGACCCCATTATAAAACTTCTGTATGTTACTCCAGAGAAGGTTTGTATTTTATCATTATTTTAAAACATGACATTAGAGCAGTGTTAGTAAAACAATTCAGTTCTCCCTCTCGAGTATGGAAAAATCCATCTTTCCCTCCTCTGTTGCTCTCCTTTATTACTCACATTGAAGACTTTCTTCTGCTTATCAAGCATGTGGACGTTTTTTCCTTACTCCAAGCAATTCTTAGGACACCGGCCGATTGTCCGTAATTTAACTCAATTCTGACATTGCCTACCCAGAAATAGTGTCAGATCCCACAGGTTAAGGGCTCAGTCCAGCTGAAACCGGTTTGGCTCAGTGGATAGAGCGTTGGCCTATGGACTGAAAGGTCCCAGGTTCAATTCCAGTCAAGGGCATGTACATTGGTTGTGGGCACATCCCCAGTAGGGAATGTGCAGGAGGCAGCCAATCGATGTTTCTAGCTCTCTATCCCTCTCCCTCTCTGTAAAAAATCAATAAAATATATATTGCTCCTACCCCACTTCAGATGCCAGTCGTAAGTAGTTGGTTCCCATCCAGGTCACTCATAACTTCTCTCTGATTTGGCTCTAAGTCAGAAGGTCTTATAACTCCCTTCTCAGTTCCCATTCATTTGCTATTAGCGGCCCGTAGCACTCAGGGCAGTGCTTAAGTTTACGTTTACTAAGGGGCATGATAAAGATACAGATGAACAGCCAGATGAAGAAAAATGCTGGGTGAGGTCTGGGGAGGTCCAGAGCACAGGAGCTTCTGCCCTCATGCAGTTGGGGGGTCTTCACCCTCCTGGTGTGGATGTGTTTGCCAACCTGGAAACTCTGAATCCCATACTTTGGGGATTTGATTTAGACTTCCCCATGTAGGCACGATCAATTATCAAGTCTGTTTCTAGCCCCTCTCCCCTGTCTGGAGGATCGGGGTTGGTGATGCATATTCCAAGGTTCTAATGGCTTGGTCTTATACAAGATCCCCCTCCCCCAGATTCAACTCTAGAGTAAAAAGATGCTCCTAATGTTCTTATCACTTAAGAAATTGTAAGAATTTCAGAGGCTCTGTGCCAGGCACTCTGGTGGAGACCAAAATATTTTTTCCATTATCTCCTTAAAGCTCCCTAGAATACATACATTTTCCAATTTTGACATATTTCTGTTATATAGTCCAAGAATTCCTGTATGACTTTCATCCAGAAACTCCAAATGTAACTTTTACTGTGATTGCTTTATCCTTCTATTTTTTTTTTAAATATTTGAAAGTAAGTTGTAGACATGATATATTCTTTTAACCTTAAATACTTTACCATGCATTTCCTAAAAACAAGGAATTATCTTGCATACCAGTATAGTGATCAAAATCAGAAAGTTTCCATTGGTACACTGTTATTTAGTCTATGAACTTCAGTTTAACTAGTTGTCCTAATGTCCGTTATAGCAAAAGACATTCCTAGATTATGCATTGCATTTAGTTGTCTTGTCTCTTTAAATAATTTGTCTTTCATGATTTTGACACCTTCCCCCTCTACCCCCCAATATACTTCTTTATTGATTTCAGAGAGGAAACTAGAGGGAGAGAGAGATAGAAACATCAGTGATGAGAGAGAATCATTGATTGGCTGCCTCCTGCACGCTCTCCACTGAGCCAAACCAGCTAGGGTGATTTTGACAGTTGAAGAGTGAAGGCCAGTTATTTTAAGAACTGTCCCTCAGTTTGAGTTTATCTTATATTTCCTTGTGATTAGATTCAAGGTACTCATCTTGGCAGGAACTTCAGAAGCTGTGATAAGTTCTCATGCATCCTATCAGGAGGCATTTGATGTCAAGTTCATTCTGTTATTGGTGATGTTAGTTAACCTAATCACCTAGACAGGGTGATGTCTGCCAGACTTCTTCACTGTAAAATTACTTTTTTCTCTCTTTTTGTCATAGATTTAAGTTTTTTTGGTTATTTTCTGCCTTTGAGTAGTAGATATTTGTTGAGATACTCTGAAACTGTGTAAATATCCTGTTCATTCATCAGACGTTTACCTAATAGTTTTATCATCCATTGATGATTCCCCTTTAGCTATTACTATAATGACTGCCAAATGATGATTTTTCTAATTAGTTGGCATTTTACTACAACAAAGAGGTTTCCCTTTTACCTACATATTTACTTACATTAATATTAACTTATGGAGTTTTAACTTATATAGTAGGCTAGCATCTATTTTTGTTATGTAACTTAATGTTCTAATTTGGCCATGGGAGATCTTCATGAAACTGGCCTCTGTGTCCTTTCTGTGTCTTTTTTTTAAATTTTTTTATTTTATTTTATTGATTTTTTACAGAAAGGAAAGGAGAGAGATAGAGAGCTAGAAACATCAATGATGAGAGAAACATCTACCAGCTGCCTCTTGCACACCCCCCACCGGGGATGTGCCCACAACCAAGGTACATGTCCTTGACCAGAATCAAACCTGGGACCCCTCAGTCCGCAGGCCGATGCTCTATCCACTGAGCCAACCCGGTTTCGGCCTCTTGGTTCTTTTGACATGTCTGTTAAGTTGTGGGTGCCAAATGTGGTCATTAATACTAGGATGACATTGCTTTTAGGCCCTGTCATGGACAGAGCTATGAAATACATACATACATACAAATATGTGTATGTGTGTGTGTGTGTGTGTGTGTGTGTGTGTGTATTCCCCTCCCCAAGAAACAAGCATGCAAGTAACATATCCATAGCACTGTTCCCAGTGGGCCCTCAGATATTCTGAGATCCAAAGTTTTACAACCACTGACCTGTTACATCACTGTTTACTAAACATTCTAAACTGTTTCTGCTATTTCCTATCACTTTTGCTAATCCTCTTCATATAATGGAATAAGAACCAGTTTTCTCTGAAGGTTTTCAGTTGTAGTGGAACTGAAAGACAACAGAATCCTTGAGGTGATGTGGTGTTTAAGTGTCTAATTAATCCATTTCTGATCTAGGTCTGTGCAAGTAACAGGCTGATCTCTACTCTGGAGAACCTGTACGAGAGGAAGCTCTTGGCACGGTTCGTTATTGATGAAGCACACTGTGTCAGTCAGGTAAATACTACTTTTTTTTTTATTTCGGCAAATACTCCTTTTTATGTCTTTTTTTTTTAAGTTTTGATGAATCTATTTTTTTTATTTTTTTTTTAATATATATATTTTATTTATTTTTTACAGAGAGGAAGAGAGAGGGATAGAGAGTTAGAAACATCGATGTGAGAGAATCATCCATCAGCTGCCTCTTGCACACCCCCTACTAGTGATGTGCCCGCAACTAAGGTACATGCCCTTGACCGGAATCGAACCTGGGACTTTTCAGTCCGCAGGCTGATGCTCTATCCACTGAACCACACCGGTTTTGGCTATGTCTTGAAATATTTATAAATATATACCACCAACAGTATATGTATTTTCAAAACCAAAGAGAGAGAAAATATCGAGTGCATTATCCCGTTTCACTGAAGAATGTTCTATTTCACTGAAGGTGGCTCTGAATGCGGAGAGCAGTATTTGCTTTGTATACACGAAAGATTCAAATGGTCTGAAAAGCGGGTTTTTGTTTTTTTTTCTCAACCAGTGGGGACACGATTTCCGTCAGGATTACAAAAGAATGAACATGCTTCGCCAGAAGTTTCCCTCCGTGCCGGTGATGGCGCTCACTGCCACAGCCAACCCCAGGGTGCAGAAGGACATCCTCACTCAGCTGAAGATCCTCAGGCCTCAAGTGTAAGTGGTTGAAAGTCCTGCATGTCAAACCCTGGGGCAGTGGTTGGCAGCGTGCTGCACGTTAAATCTGCGGAGCTTTGACAATCCCAGTGCCCGGGTTGTGCTGACGCCAATTAGCTCAGAATTTAGGGGCTGGGAGCCAGAAAGTTTTTTAAAAATCCCCAAGGGAACCATCCTTTTCTTGGGATGGCTTTACTGTCCAATCAGCGTGTATAAGGGCAGTACTGCTAACGCCGTTAAAGAGGAAAATCCCCAGTGATTACAATAGATAGAATTTGGGAACTAGGGCCCTACGGGCTTTTCTTCACTTACTGAAATGAAAACTCTCTCTCGTTTCCTATTTTGTAAGGAGGGATAAAGTGCATGTTGTTCCTGGTAGCCCTGGTCTCGTCCCAGTAAGAAATTAGCTTTTATTTACCTAATTTTAGCTCTCGTACATCCTAGCCCCGTGGTCGGCAAACTACGGCTTGCGAGCCACATGCGGCTCTTTGGCCCCTTGAGCGTGGCTCTTCCACAAAATACCACGGCCTCGGCAAGTCTGTTTTGAAGAAGTGGCGTTAGAAGAAGTTTAAGTTTAAAAAATGTGGCTCTCCAAAGAAATTTCAACCGTTGTACTGTTGACATTTGGCTCTGTGGGCTAATGAGTTTGCCGACCACTGGCCTAGAGTATATACTTCATGAGATGGAACCAATGACCCTGCTTTGTCCTTTCCTCTGAAGTCCCAGTGACACCCATAATGTGGGAAATAGAAAATAGTCCGGAAACTATGTCTTACAGCTTTTTTTACTTTGTTTCCATCTCAACAGCAAAGGGCTTCTTATTGGCACCAAATCCATAATTATTCAATAATAAAAACAACTATAGTAAAATGCCCCACATATATAGGCTGTACTGGATTAGTTTGTACTTCTGTGTGAGTTTGTAGATACGGGTGCATTCTCTGGTAGGTTCATTCACTCAGTAAATATCTACTTAGCAGCTATTGTGGACCAAGGTTAAAATATTTTTTCCTTCCAATTTGTTAATGGGTGTTTGAGGCTGAGAAAGCCTGAAGGAATGACTAATATACTGGGGTGAGTTTTTTTTTTTTTTTTTTTTTTTTTTTAAGTACACCTTTTGTTCGTTTGGAAATAAAGAGAATGAGCTGGCTCTATAAATATGGTAACCAGTAAAAACAATAGCAGCATCTCTCAGCGGGTTATGAGAACTGGAAGTGCCACATGAAGGAAATGAGGCGTCATGAGATTAAAGTAGATCCAAAGACCTTTGCAGTCTAAACTGATGTGTTTTTGTTTTTGTTGAACCTTGCCCGTGGCTATTTCTCACCCCCATTGATTTTTAAAGGGAGTGGAAGCGAGGAGGGAGAAGGGAGAGAGAGAAATATCAGTCTGGGCCTGGATTGGGCCTGCAACCTACATACATGCCCTTGACTGGGAATTGAACTTGGACCCTTTGGTCCTTGTGCTGGCGCTCCTACCATTGAGCAATCGGGCCAGGGCTAAACTAGCCTTCTTGAGTGCAAGAATTTCCAAGTAATCAGAGATTTTGTGTATGTGATCTCACTTACAGAGGGGAGTTTGTATAAAATTTGGGAGAAATATATTTTGCTTCCATAATTGATAAACATTGCATGATAGTTAAGGTGTCATACTTTAGGTTTTAGTAAATAACCTATATACTAGGAATTTGCTTCTACAAGTACTACATTGGTCTCTGAAAGCTTTTTCTTTTTTTAGATAGGCAATATTTTTAGCTTTCCCCCCTCAATTTATGCCAGAAGCAATCTACTGTTCTTTTTGATCAGTAATATTCATTTTCCAGATGCCCGGCAATTAAATCATATAAGTTCAGTTTAATTCACCTTTTCTAATATATATATATTGATTTCAGAGAGGAAGGGAGTGGGGAGAGAGGTAGAAACATCAATGATGAGAGAGAATCATTGATCGGCTGCCTCCTACACACCCCACACTGTGTGGATCAAGCCCGCCACCCAGGCATGTGCCCTGACAGGGAATCGAACTGTGACCTCCTGGTTCCTAGGTCGACCCTCAACCACTGAGCCACACCGGCTGGGCTCAATTCATCTTTGAATAACATTTTGTTAAGTATAGAATTTAGTCGTTTTGCTGGAGTAAACATTGCACAAATAGATTTAGAAGCAGGCACCTTTAATATCCTTTCCTAGTAGTGTGAGGAGATCTCCTTGCAGAAGTAATAGATTATACATTTTCTGAGTCTAGCATGTGGTGCCCGGTACATAATTGGCATTTGTTAAGAATGAATAAATGAAGCATATGGAGGAGGAATGTGGGTAAATGTGGGTAAAATGTGAAAATTTGGGCAAGTCTGTGGACTCTCTAATATATCTGGCACTTCTATATTTGGGAAAGTTTAAAACTCTTAGTGAAAGGAAAAAAAAAAATTAATGAACACTTTCTGACACATTTTCCCTGCTCTTCTTTTCTACCTATAAGCTCTTGGTTTGCATTCAATTGGCCCAACTGCTGATGTGTCGTGACCCTGAAGAAGGCAGTTTTCCAAAGGTTTGGGGCCATGACCCCATGCTCCTCCTTATGCTGAAATATGATATTCTTCTTCTTTTTATTTTTTTTTAATATATTTTATTGATTTTTTTACAGAGAGGGAGAGAAATAGAGAGAAACATGGATGAGAAACATCTATCAGCTGCCTCTTGTACACCCCCCACTGGGGATGTGCCCGCAACCAAGGTACATGCCCTTGACCGGAATCGAACCTGGGACCCCTTAGTCCGCAGGCCGACACTCTGTCCGCTGAGCCAACCGGATTTGGCTTACGCATAAATTTTGATTGAAAATGTGTAACTTAATAAAGATAGGATTTTTCCCTTCCCCCCAGTTAGTTCATATATCTGTGAATGAATTCAGTTGGCTCCAATTTATTTATATCATTGATTTCAGAGAGGAAGGAAGAGTGAGAGAGAGAGAAACATCATTGATGAAAGAGAATCATTGACTGGCTGCCTCCTACAAGCCCCACACTGGGGACTGAACCCACAACCCGAGCATGTACTCTGTCGGGACACTGAAGCTCCTGGTTCATAGTTCGAGGCTCAACTACTGAGCTATGCTGGCCGGTGGCTTAAATTTCTTTTATAGATGTGAGCATTAAGAAACATTGCTCACAAAAATGTGGATGGGAATGGAAAGCATTTTATTGTAGTAATAACACTCAATTATTTGAATTCCTTCTGACACAAATGCCAACATTACATAATGATCTGTCATGAAAAATTATTTTTAATGACATTTCGACAACTCAATTAAGTCCTCCAAATTTTGTTGAAAGCAAAGATTTATAAACCATGTGACTGGCGAAATAAGTCCGATCATTAGTTACTCACTGCTTTTTCTGGGAAATATACCCTAAAAAATGCCTTACCAAGACTTACCCAATTGCTGTTTCACATAAATAAACCTTATATCTAATTTATTCTGAAGACCTTTCTAATCTATTTCTGACATTTTTTTTATTCTATAATATGCTTTTAAATTAGTTTTGTCAAAACTTTGTGACTACTGTTAGTTCTTTCAAATAATGGGAAATGACTACCATGTAATCTGATTGGCAAATCCAGTTTTCATTGCCAAACCAATCAGCCGCATTAGACTTATTTTCTTATATATAAAAAAAGAAAATTGGACTGTTTATAATTCACATAAACTAGTACATATCCTCAAGACAAATATTTCAGTTCCAAAAACAACAAGAGCTGAGCACAAATTGATTCCATTTCCTAACACATTGCTTAAAATCACATGAGTTTGACACCCTGGACCTAATAATATTTTTTATTTTTTATGACAACTCCCTTAGTGAAATGCAATGAAATCCAAACTTCTTTTTTAAATCATGTCTTTATTAAGATATAATTGACACGCCATAAAATTCACCCATTTAAAGGTTAGAATTTATTTGTTTATTTTAAAATATATTTTTATTGATTTTTTACAGAGAGGAAGAGAGAGGAATAGAGAGTTAGAAACATCGATGAGAGAGAATCATCGATCAGCTGCCCCCTGCACAACCCCTACTGGGGATGTGTCCACAACCAATGTATATGCCCTTCACTGGAATCAAACCTGGGACCTTTCAGCCCACAGGCCGACGCTCTATCCACTGAGCCAGACCGATTTTGGCTAAAGGTTAGAATTTAGTAGCATTTTTTGAATGTTCACGGAATTGTCCAACCATCTCCCACATCTAAATTCAGAATGTTTTCATCATCCAGAAAAGAAACCTCAGTGCTTCTAAACAGTCACTCGCCATCACTTAGCATAATGTTCCCAAGGGACTTCCACGTTGTAGCCTGTGGCAATCCTTCATTCATTTTTATGGCTGAATAGTCTTCCATTCTGGGGGCATTCCGCATTTCAGTCACCCGTTTATCAATTGATGAGCACTGCCTCTAACTACAGTATCTCGTAATTCCAAACATGCTGCTTTCCAGCGGGCCCCGTCAGATTTGTTCTATGTAATAAAATCAGAGAGACTTATCTTTTTCATTTTAACAAATTGTGGGAATGCTGCTTTTAGTTAGCGGCCCATCTGCTGGAGTTTAGCCGTCTATTTGCCGTAGAGATACTTGTTTTGGTTTTAATTGGATATGAGATCTGCAGCTTTCTATCCTAATATGATGTCATTTTCTTATTTTTAGCAAAAGTAGTCTGTTTGACTAAATTAGTAAACATTTCTCTGTGCCACAAATAAAAAATTTCAGATTTTATGCCAAATGTGTTTAATATATCAGCTTTATTGAGATATAATGTGCATACCATTCAATTCACTATTTAAAGTGTATCGTTCAGAGGTTTTTAGTAGTCAGGGTTGTGCAGTCATCACCACAATCCATTTTAGAATGTTTTCCTCAGCCTGCAAAAGCACCCATATCCATTAGTAGTTAATCCCACTTTCCCCTCCCACCCCCTGACAGCCTACGGCAAGCACCAATCTACCTTCTGTCTTTAGATTTTCCTGTTCTGGAGATATATATATATATATATATATATATATATATATATATATATATATGCATAATATGCAAATCGACCAGGCAGCGAAACAACCAGTTGGCTATGATATGCACTGACCACCAGGGGTCTGTCCCCAGCCTGGGATTGGGGGTGGGTAGCTGCAGGCAACCAGGGACCTCTAGTCTCATATAAGGAGAATCATCCAATACAGCTACTTTCAGGTAGCATAATGTTTTCAGTTTATTGCTGAAGAATATCCCATTGTTATGGGTATATCACATTTTATTTATTCACTAGTGGCCCTGTGCATGAAATTCATGCACGGATTGGGGGGAGGGAGTGTCCCTCAGCCCAGCCTGCACCCTCTCCAATCTGGGATCCCTCTCGCAATCCAGGACCAATGGCTCCCAACCACTCACCTCCTGCTCACCCTAACTGTCCCCCTACCCCCCTTCCCGCTGGCTGCTCTCTTCTAACCACCTCTGCTTCAGTCCTGCCACCATGGCTTTGTCTGGAAGGATGTTCAAAAGGACTCCCAGTCTAATTAGCATATTATCCTTTTATTAGTATAGATTGGTCAACATTGGTGTACCTTTTTTGGCTATTCTGAGTAATGCTGTTGTGAACATTCACATACAGGTTTTTATGCGGGCCTGTATTTTTCTGACTCTCGGATATAGACGCAGGAATGGAATTGTTGGGTTGTTTGCTAACTCAAATGAGTGACTTCCTGGTGCATGAGATGATGCTCAAACCACTAAGCCATACTGGCCAGGCCTGAACAATTTTTAAATTTTATTTTATTTTTTAAAATATATTTTATTGATTTTTTTGCTGAAACCAGTTTGGCTCAGTGGTAGAGCGTCGGTCTGCGGACTGAAAGGTCCCAGGTTCAATTCCGGTCAAGGGCATGTACATTGGTTGCAGGCACATCCCTGGTGGGGGGTGTGCAGGAGGCGGCTGGTCGATGTTTCTCTCATCGACGTTTCTGGCTCTCTATCCCTCTCTCCTCTATGTAAAAAAATCAATAAAATATATTTAAAAAAAAAATATATATATATATATATATAATTGATTTTTTACAGAGAGGAAGAGAGAGGGATAGTTAGAAATATCGATGAGAGAGAGAATAATCGATCAGCTGCCTCTTGCACATCCCCAGTAGGTACATGCCCTTGACTGGAATCGAACCCGGGACCTTGCAGTCCACAGGCCGACGCTCTCTATCCACTGAGCCAAACCAGTTTCGGCAGCAATTTTTTTAGTGCCGTAATTTTATCAAGACTGCAGTTCTTTTTGCTGTGGCAATGATTGTAAGTCATGAACAGAGAACAATCAAATTAGCCCTTGAATATATCAGACTTTTATCTGCTCCCTTCTTTGCCACAATCTGCTTGCTACACATGCTTCTGCCATGTCAAGCACTACCAGAAAGCTCTGAGCGTCTTGTACAAGTGACGTAAGAGGAATGGTTTTGAGTCAGAGTAATGCATTCTCTGACCGTTTTTCAGGGACGAAGGAAGAAGCACGGTCATAAAGTAAAAATCATCTTCACTCCCACCACCTTCCTCTGTATCTGAAACTAGAACATTCCAATCGAGGCTGAAATACTTTATTCCTGATGTCATACCCTGGCCTTCACAGAAATATGTAAAACCCTTAACAAACATGAAACTTCACCAACGGTTTCTGTTTCTGACTAAAGGAGGTTTTACCTATACCCATACTGGACTTTTTTTTTTTTTTTTTTTTTTAATGCCCTGGCGGTGTTTGCATCTGGAACAGTGCACGGTAGTAAAGTTCAGAATGAGTCAAAAGTAGGGTTCGTTTGTTTGTTTTTAGAAAGTGAAAGGACAGTTGTAAAAGGGGGGGGGGGGAATGGTGCAGGAGAAACCAGCAGGCACATTCTCAGATCAGTCATTTAGCAAAAGTTACATGTGACAATGGAGAATGGAGCCGAAGCCGGTTTGGCTCAGTGGATAGAGCATCGGCCTGCGGACTAAAAGGTCCCGGGTTCGATTCCAGTCAAGGGCACGTATCTTGGTTGCGGGCACATCCCGAGTGAGGGGTGTGCAGGAGGCAGCTGATGTTTCTCATCGATGTTTCTAACTCTCTTTCCCTCTCCCTTCCTCTCTGTAAAAGATCAACAAAATATATATTTTAAAAAATCTTTATAAAAAAACAAATAAAACTAAACACATTTATCCTACCATTGGCAACAAATCCTGGACCCAGCTTAGATTTATTTATTTTTATTATTATTATTATTATTTTTTTTTTTTTTTTTTAAATATATTTTATTGATTTTATACAGAGAGGAAGGGAGAGAGATAGAGAGCTGGAAACATCGATGAGAGAGAGTCATCGATCAGCTGCCTCTTGCACACCCCCTACTGGGGATATGCCCGCAACTAAGGTACATGCCTTTGACCGGAATCGAACCCGGGACCTTTCAGTCCCCAAGCCGACGCTCTATCCATTGAGCCAAACCGGTCCCGGCTATTTTTATTATTTTTTTTAAAATATATTTTATTGATTTTGTACAGAGAGGAAGGGAGAGATATAGAAAGCTAGAAACATCGATGAGAGAGAGTCATCGATCAGCTGCCTCTTGCACACCCCCTACTGGGGATATGCCCGCAACCAAGGTACATGCCCTTGACCGGAATCGAACCCGGGTCCCTTCAGTCCCCAAGCCGACGCTCTGTCCATTGAGCCAAACCGGTCTCAGCCCAGCTTAGATTTAGATACAGAAAGAGAGAGCCAGTGGTTGCCTCCCTCTGATCGCCACACCCTTGAATAGCAGCCTCCTCCCTATCAGCCGAGGCGCTGGGAGGTTTCTGTGCTCTAAATTCACCTTGTCCTTCCCGCGGGGATGTTGGAACCTGGGACAGCGCAGGGTCCCCGCAGGTTGCGGATCCTATAACAGTTCTCTAGCTTTAAGAGCTTTGACACAACAATTTTGGCAGAAGGGAAAGCCAGAATGGAGGCGATGAGAAGAAGCTGAGTGTGTAGGATGTCGGTTGGGAGCATGTGTCTTGCCACTGGAGGGAAGGAAAGGTGGGGTGCCGGCAGCAGGGCAGTATTGGGGTCAGGGGAAGCTTTTGTTGTTTTTAGGATCGGTGATCTTAGAACGCATTCAGAGAAAAAAGAGAAGCGTTCACAGAAGAGACTGAAGTGCAAGAGGAGATAACGGAGAGGAAGAGCTTCCTGAGGAAGTGGGGTGCCAAGGGCAGAGGCCACAGAGAGCAGGGCACATCTGTTCTCAGCATCACCCACATTCTCTTGGGGGCACAGAGCCCAAGGACAATGGTCCACGCTCCTTTGGTTGCCCGGCAATTAGCTCCTCGTGTACACAGTCAAAATTTGGGGACATTGGTGGCTAAAAATGTTATGTTTTCTCTTATGATTTTCTTTTCTTTTTAAAAAAAATATATTTTATTGATTTTTTACAGAGAGGAAAGGAGAGGGATAGAGAGCCAAAAACATTGATGAGAGAGAAACATTGATCAGCTGCCTCCTGCACGCCCCCCAACGGGGATGTGCCCACAACCAAGGTACATACCCTTGACCGGAATCGAACCTGGGACCTTTCAGTCCACAGGCCGACACTCTATCCACTGAGCCAAATTGGTTTCGGCTGATTTTCTTTTTATATATATATTTCTCCTATATAATAAAGAGGTAATATGCAAATTGACCCTCATGCCCTCATAAGCTAGCTGCCTACGACCAGGCTGGGAGGGGGGGTTAGTGAGGGACAACCAAACAACTGAACAAGCAGGCTGCATGGAGCGACCAGACTAGCAGGGGGGCAGCTGGAGGTGACCAGGTCAGCAGCAGGCGGGGGAGGGGGGGCAGTAAGGGATGAGCAGGCCAGCGGGGGGCACGCAGTTAGGAGCAAGCAGGCAGCAGGAAGGGGGAAATGGGCGGTGACCTGGCTGGCAGAGGGAGACAGGGACGACCAGGCCTGAAGGGGGGGGTAGTTAGGAACTCAGGCCAGCACGCAGAGGCAGTGAGGGGCGATCAGGCCGGCAGGCAGGTGAGCAATTAAGAGCTAGTGGCTCAGCCGGGACCGGTGTGGCTCAGCGGTAGAGCGTCGGTCTGCAGACTGAAAGGTCCCGGGTTCGATTCCGGTCGGGGGCATGTACATTGGTTGCGGGTACATCCCCAGTAGAGGGGTTTGCGAGAGGCAGCTAGTCGATGTTTCTCTCTCATCGACGTTTCTAGCTCTCTCTCTCTCCTTTCCTCTCTGTAAAAAAATCAATAAAATATATTTAAAAAAAAAAAAAAAAAAAGTGCTAGTGGCCCAGAATTATGAGAGGGATGTCCTCCAAGGGTCCTGGATTGGAGAGGGTGCAGGCTGGGCTGAGGGGACCACCCCTCTCCCCCCACCACCATGAACAAATTTCGTGCACTGGGCCTCTAGTATATATTTTTGCTTATTTTTATTTCAAAGAGGATGGGAAAGGGACAGAGAGAGAGAAACATCAATGATGAGAGAATCATCATGGCTTGGCTGCCTCCTGCATGCCCCCAATTGGGGATCAAGCCCGCAACCCGGGCATGTACTGTGACCAGGTATCGAACCACAACCTCCTGGTTTATAGGGTCGATGCTTAATTAACCACTGAGCCACACTGGCTGGACTGATTTCCTTAATCTTTTAAATAATGTTTTAGTCCTCTCTGCTCTTGTCATCTTCATCGTGGAGACTGGGTTCTCTTCTTACCTGCATGTGTTCTCTACAGTCCTTCTAACTCCTTGTCATCCAGTCCCTCAGACACTCCCGCCTTGTCACCATGCATCTCATTAACTCACCCTCCATCGCTCCGTTCTATGATGTAAGCTGCTAGTGGCAATACTCAATTTAACACAATAATCAGGTTTGCTCTGTGGAAAATCAGCATTTAATTTTTGAAGGTGGGCTAAAGCGATATTTTCTCATAGTAACAAAATTTTATGTTTGGGATTTCTTTTAGGTTTACCATGAGCTTTAACAGACATAATCTGAAATACTACGTGCTCCCCAAAAAGCCAAAAAAGGTAGCATTCGATTGCTTGGAATGGATCAGCAAGCATCACCCACGTGAGTTCAGCCATGTGATGAATTATGTCTAGAAGTAATCAGTACATGTCTTTTTATTTTTTTTTTAAATATATTTTATTGATTTTGTACAGAGAGGAAGGGAGAGAGATAGAGAGTCAGAAACATCGATGAGAGAGAATCATCAATCAGCTGCCTCCTGCACACCCCCCACCGGGGATGTGCCCGCAACCAAGGCACATGCCCTTGACCGGAATCGAACGTGGGACCCTTCAGTCCACAGGCCGACGCTCTATCCACTGAGCCACACCGGTTTCGGCCTTGCTTGAATTCTTCTACCTACTTTAAGAAGATTATGGAGGTCTATTGATGTCTCATATGTTTCAAAGAACATGGTATAGATTGTGCTGTTATTTATGTCACAACCCCTCATTTCTTGGCAGGTGACTCGGGGATAATTTACTGTCTCTCCAGGCGGGAGTGTGACACGATGGCTGACACCTTACAGAAGAATGGACTGCCTGCTCTTGCCTATCACGCTGGCCTCAGTGACTCTGCCAGGGACGAAGTGCAGCACAAGTGGATCAACCAGGATGGCTGTCAGGTGACGTTTTTAAAGATAAACAAGTAATTTTTTTTAATAGCATCTAAGCAAACTTGCTTACTTAAATGAAAATGGTTTTTACCATAAGTAGTAGACATCAAAATAAGACTGAAATAGAAAGAAATGTTTTTGAAGACATAAAGTTGGTCTTTCTTAAATTTAAAAAAAAAAAAAAAAAAATTTTATTGAGATTAATTCAAGACCATAAAATTTCACCCTTTCAAAAAAGTTTACAAGTCAGTGGTTTTAGTGTAGTCACAAGATTATGCGGCCATCACCATTAATTCTAGAACATTTCATCACCCTAAAAAGAAACCCTATATCCATTAGCAGCCACCCCTCACTCCCCCCAACCTTCCATTCCCTGGTAACCATTAATCTACCAGTTACTATTAATCTGTCTCTATAGATTTTCCTATTCTAGACATTTCATAGAAATGATTCAATTTCTGTCAAGGGCATGTACCTTGGTTGCAGGCACATCCCCAGTAGGAGGTGTACAGGAGGCAGCTGATCTGTGTTTCTAACTATCCCTCTCCTCTCCCTTCCTCTCTGTAAAAAAATCAATAAAATATTTTTTAAAGATATAAATAAATAAAAATATGTACATAGTATATTCCATTATATATATATAAATATATATAAATATATATAAAATATAAAACACTTTGATAAAAATACAGTTTTAAAAAAATTAGTTAGCCATAACTGGTTTAGCTCAGTGGATAGAACGTAGGCCTGTGGACTGAAGGGTCCCAGGTTCGATTTCGGTCAAGGGCATGTACCTTGGTTGCGGGCACATCCCAGTAGGAGGTGTGCAGGAGGCAGCTGATCTATGTTTCTCTCTCATCAATGCTTCTAACTCTATCTTTCTCCCTTCCTCTCTGTAAAAAATTAATAAAATATATATTTTAAAAAATTGGTTAAACATTTTTTTTTAATCGAATTGTTTTCTACTCTGGGACGAGCTAATCTTTACAGTCAGGGCACAACCATCTGGACAGCCTTGGTCTTGTTGGATTTGTGAATTAGGTTAAAACTTGGTTGTTTTTCTTCACAAAGAAACTATATAGCTTGAAGTTTTAAATGCAACACAAAAATAAGAAGGAAGTAACTAAACAAAGCCAGTTTCTCAGGTAAAGGCTTTCGGAAAGAGCTGTCTGTCATCTGTGGCCTTGAGTCATGTATCCACCCAACCAGGGTTCTTGGAACCTTGGTGACCACACCCTGTGGGCTTGTGGGCAGGGCCATCTTGCTCAGCAGTCTATCTGCTCTCCAACCCTAGAGGCTCCGGGAGACTTCCTCTTTCCAAGGATGTTTACCTTTGATCAAAGTGCCAGACATTTAGCCGAAACCCGTTTGGCTCAGTGGATAGAGCATTGGCCTGCCAACTGAAGGGTCCCAGGTTCAATTCCGGTCAAGGGCATGTGTCTTGGTTGGGGGCACATCCACAGTGGGGGGTGTGTAGGAGGCAGCTGATCCAATGATTCTCTCTCATCAATGTTTCTAACTATCCCTCTCTCTTCTTCTCTGTAAAAAATCAATAAAATATATCTTTTTTAAAAAGTGCCATAAATTTAGATGGACCGGCAGCCTAGACAGCATGCTGCTGCCATTCCCAGCCTGATGAATGTCCTTATCCCCATTTGCCATCCGCCTGCTCCATAGGTTTCAGTTCCCTTCTCTGGTTACTGAGATCGTGTCATGAGCCCCATTCTGGCTGCCAAGTAGTTCATTTGCTTTTAAAATGCCCCTTTTGTGGTAGCAATTAATTTTTTAAAAATAGCTTTGTTTATATAACGTAATTTTTGCCTGGAGATACGATGTTTTTGTCTGGGTTACATAGGCCTTAAATTTGCAAAGGAAATGGATACTCCTGAAGGTGATTTTTTACTAAACGCTGATTTATCTATCAAGCTCCGGAAATTTAACTATCACCTTGCTTCCACTAAGTAATTTGCATAGGCCAAGATCAAAGGTCTCCAGTCTTTTTCTTTTTTCTTTCTTTTTTTTTTTTTTGGTATAAGCAACTCAGACTTTTACTCACATATGAGTTTCGATAAAAACTTCACGGTTTGATTGAGATTCACTGATGAGTAAAAGAAGCTGCTATGTGATCAGCTGCTGTCGCTGGGAGAATGGATGGTATACACCGAACAGGTGAATCATCAGAGAAGCTGGCAGCAGTGACCTCAACACTCAAGTCCTGAGCTGCTGAGCAGCACGTTTCTCATCACTGGCCTGGACACCCTGGCAGTGTGCGGGGCACTCACACCACCTTATCAAAAACACACGAGAACAACCAGTGACAGCACGTTGAGAGGCGGCTGCTATTGATTCTGGCTCCCGCAGGTGACAATACCAAGCCGCTCAAGAAAATGCCTGCCCCATCGAGAGGCTCTTTACTTTCTTGGATCTTCATAAAACTGCAAATTGCCAATCTGGAAATCTCCCATTAGTTGTGCTAAATAATGGGACCAGGTTAAGATACTAGATTGTTGTGTAGAGTGCATTTGAAAACAAATCAGGAGAGAAAGAGTTTGGGAGCATCTGTTATAAAAATGACGGCTTTAATGCATTATGAGGCCAATAGGCTTTCGCTTCTTACTTCAGGTTATCTGTGCGACCATTGCATTTGGGATGGGGATTGACAAGCCCGACGTGCGATTTGTGATCCACGCGTCTCTCCCTAAATCCGTGGAGGGTTACTACCAAGAGTCCGGCCGAGCTGGAAGAGACGGGGAAATCTCTCACTGCCTGCTTTTCTATACCTACCATGACGTGACCAGACTGAAGAGGCTTATACTCAGTAAGTCCCCCTTCAGTCTCGGGATAGTGGTATCCACCTTCTGGCGCTGTGGTACTTTTGGTCTAGTTACAGAAAAACAGGAGTGCTTATATAAATATGGGAGGGTTTTTAAAATTTTTATTTATTTATTTTTACAGAGAGGAAGGGAGAGAGATAGAGAGCTAGAAACGTCAATGAGAGAGAAACATTGACCAGCTGCCTCTTGCACACCCCCTACCGGGGATGTGCCCACAACCAACGTACATGCCCCTGACCGGAATCGAACCTGGGACCTTTCGGTTCGCAGACCGATGCTCTACCACTGAGCCAAACCGGTTTCGGCATAAATATGAGAGTTTTTAATATGTGCATAACATGCAAATCATCATTGAGAATAATAAAGATTTATATCTTCAGGGATGCCCATAAATATTCCATTAATTATAATATAGAATGTCACGTTGATATGAAATGCTATTAATAATTATTTCATTTAATATTTAAAGTCATATGAATGTATTAGAAATATTTCTGTGATATTCTCTTTTGTTTTTCTACTCTAATAAGTCTTTTTTTTTTTGCTATGTTCTTCATTTCTTTTAGTGGAAAAAGATGGAAACCATCATACCAGAGAGACTCACTTTAATAATTTGTATAGTATGGTACATTACTGTGAAAATATAACAGAATGCAGGCGAATACAGCTTTTGGCTTACTTTGGTGAAATTGGATTTAACCCTGAGTTTTGTAAGAAACACCCAGAAGTTTCTTGTGATAATTGCTGTCAAGCAAAGGTAAAATGGAAAAAAAAAAATTTCTCCTCTTGATATAGAAAAGTTAGATGAAAGATGGATTTAAGAATTACTTTTCCCATCTTCTTGAGATAAGCCTTCTCAATCAATAAAACTGTCTTTGCTACCAAAAAAAAAAAAAAAAAGTTAGATGAAAATAGTGGCCCCTAAGGAATTAAACAGAAAGATTGCTTCCTTCCCATAATCATTTGGAATGGAACATTTTTATATTCTGTGGGATATCTTTAGAATTAGAAGCCCTTAAAAATATACTGGACCATGCCGAGACCGGTTTGGCTCAATGGATAGAGCGTCGGCTTGGGGACTGAAGGGTCCCGGGTTCGATTCCGGTCAAGGGCATGTACCTCAGTTGCGGGCATATCCCCAGTAAGGGGTGTGCAAGAGGCAGCTGATCGATGACTCTCTCTCATCGATGTTTCTAACTCTCTATCCCTCTCCCTTCCTCTCTGTACAAAATCAATAAAAATACATTTTAAAAAAAAAAAAAAAAAAAAAAAATATACTGGACCTACCCAGAATACTGGGGTTATTATATACGTGCACTAGTAATTATAGGATACTGTAAAAACATCATTATACAAAAAATCCAAAATGAACAAGTACAATATTTTCAATTCAACTCTAATCTATATTTAAAGATCTCACTCTCAAAAGAGTTGTGATAACTGGAGTCCTGTGTGTGTGAATTCAGATCAATCAGATGACTCTATAAATTGATTTTTTTTTTTTTAAACAATGAAGAGTAGTGGCAATAACTTCTAGTTGAGTTTGCTATCATTTGTCCTAAAAATAACCTTGGGAGATTGTCAAATGCAAGCACTTGATTGCACCTATTATGGTAATGCTGTGTTCTAATGTCTCCAGTGTACAGAGCATTCATTTTCTCATTTGATATGTTACTTTCAACGTCTGGGTAAGCCGCTGGGGATTCACAGAACAGCGTGGTGGGGCTCGTTCGTAGCCTGGAGGGGAGACAGACCTATGTGTGATCAGTGCGGTTACAACCAGACATGCAACACTAGCCAGAGCAGAGGTGCCTGAGTCTCTCTTGGGGTGCAATCTGGATTCGTGGCCATCTCCACCCACCGCACCCAACTGTGTAGACATTGCTAATCAGAGCACTCGATTCACCAAATATTTGTTGAGTGCCTACTCTGTGACAGGCGCTTATACCCCTGAAAGATTTCACCTGCTCTTATGCCTTTAAATAACATCTATAAGTTCAACACCCCCCAAATTTATATGCGTCGCCATATAAATTTGGGATACATTACAGAACAAAACATAAAGGTCCCTGCCCTTGCGGATCTCACATTCTAGCAGAAGGAGGCTGAGTACAAACATGACAAGCACATGTTAAGGGGTAAGGGCTGTGGCGAAAAGCACGGCATTATCAGGAGGCGGGACTGATGGGTGGGAGGCAGGATGCAGTATTAGATAAGGTAGCCCAGAGAAGTCCTATTGTAAAGGTGACGTCTGAGCAGAACCTTGAAGAAGAGAGTTGGTTGAGCAGCCCTCTGGATGCGGGCATTCCTGGCTGAAGCCAAGAACAACAGCCCTCAGGTAGGGGCAGGCTTGTGCGTTTGAGGGATTGAAAAGGAGCCCACGTGGTGGGCAGGGCTGGGAGTCAGGGAAGAGGTCGTGGCAGGCCAGAGCAGCAGCTGGAGGGCTGCGTCACTCAAAGTACGGAGGGATCCTCAGCGAAGATGTTTGGGTCAGGCAGTCCGGCCGGAAGGATCAGGAATTCCGTTTGGGGCGTATTGGGTTAGATATGTCCATTCAATCCAGAAATTCTAAAAAGAGGCTGGCGATGCATATAAATTTGGGGGTGTTTAACGTATAGATGTTATTTAGAGACATAAGAGCATATGAAATCTTCAGGGGTATAAGTTTATAGACAGAAGAGGAGAAAACCAAAGTTTGAGTTCTGGGACATTAAGAGATTGAGAAGACCAAGAAAGAGAAGAGAGTTGAGATAAGAGGGAAACCAAAGAAACTAAGTATTCCAGGGCGGAGTGCTTAAGCAGTGATCGATGCTGCTGCTAAGCCAAGTGCAGTTAGGACTGAGAATTCACCATTGGATTAGGACTTTTTTTTTTTTTTAATATATTTTTTATTGATTTTTTTTTTACAGAGAGAAAGGGAGAGGGATAGAGTGTTAGAAACATCAATGAGAGAGAATCATCGACCAGCTGCCTCCTGCACACCCCCCACCGGGGATGTGCCCGCAACCAAGGTACATGCCCTTGACCGGAATCGAACCTGGGACCCTTCAGTCCGCAGGCCGATGCTCTATCCACTGAGCCAAACCAGTCAGGGCTGAAGCAATGTTCTTGAGTAGCCAGAGGGGATGGGATCTAGAGTATAAGGAGAGAGATTGGCTTCAGACGGGAGCTTGGGTAGTTCAGTTATAACAGGCGGAAGGATGAGAAAATGCGGCAGGTGCTGACAGAGCTGAATGGAGGAAGTTTGTGAAATCTTTCCTGGTTGCTTCAGCTTTCTCAAGTAGGAAGCAGTGTCATCAGCTGACAGGACAAGAGAAGGGACTGAACAGAAAGGAGAGAGTGAAACAGTCATCTAAGAGGGGTCAGTAAACTTTATCTTAAAAGGCCAGAGAGTAAATATTTTAAGCCTTTGGGCCTTAGACTCACGGCCTCTGTCACAATTACTACTCGGCTCTGCTATTTTTAGCCTGAAGCAGACATAAGCAATAAATGCATTGGTTGTCCATGGCTGTGTTCCAGTAAAATTTGATTTACAAAAGCAGGCGGTATAGCTCACGGACTGTAGTTTGCCGACTGCCGTTCTAAGAGAACGGACGAGAGATGCACTAAGGATGCATGGAAATGACCTGGCAGCAGTAAGCGTCCAGTTGAGGTCTGTGGCCATGTATTGGAAGTGCAAACAGCCAAAACCGGTTTGGCTCAGTGGATAGAGTGTTGGCCTGCGGACCGAAAGGTCCTGGATTTGATTCCTGTCAAGGGCATGTACCTTGGTTGCAGGCACATCCCCAGTGGGGGGGGGTGCAGGAGGCAGCTGGTCGACGTTTCTAGCTCTCTATCTCTCTCCCTTTCTGTAAAAAATCAATAAAATATATTTCTAAAAAAAAGAAAGAAAGTGCGAACAGTCAACATGGTTGTCCGTGTGAGTGTTTCTCCAGCCAAGTTCAGCTACAGAAGTGCAGACATGGATGGTGGAGCATTGCATATAATGTGTCCTGTCAGGCTGTGTGATGACATGGCCTAAGGGCAAAGGAGTTGAGGGTGAATGAAAGGCAGTATGGTAGTGATGGTCTATGGCAGCGGTCGGCAAACTCCTTAGTCCACAGAGCCAAATATCAACAGCACAACGGTTGACATTTCTTTGGAGAGCCATATTTTTTAAACTTCTTCTAACGCCACTTCTTCAAAATAGACTCGCCCAGGCTGTGGTATTTTGTGGAAGAGCCACACTCAAGGGGCCAAAGAGCCGCATGTGGCTCGCGAGCCACAGTTTGCCCACCACGGGTCTATGGCATTCAAGCTGAGTTAGGCGAACATCTGAGGATGAGGATTGTTGGGTGCCAGATGATGAGAGCTGGAAAGGTAGGAGGCGTGGCCACGGGAGTGAGTTGCTGACTTACGTGAAGGACAGGGTACCTGGAGCGGAGGAGATCAAGACGCTGAAGGCCGAGGTGCGGGAGGATCGCCGCTCCTAGTCGTCATGAAGCAAGGCAGGAATGAAGTTGGAGAGAGTGACAGGGCACTCTCTCCCGATGATTCTAGAGAGAGCCTCAAAACCACTACCAAGTGCCGTGTAAGGCGAGAAACCTGTTCCTCCTCTGGTTGTTGAAATGTGGCAGATGAACAAGGATTAGAAGACAGGGAGCTGCCGAAACCAGTTTGGCTCAGTGGATAGAGCGTCGGCCTGCAGACTGAAGGGTCCCAGGTTCAATTCCGGTCAAGGGCATGTACCTTGGTTGCGGGCACATCCCCAGTGAGGGGTGTGCAAGAGGCAGCTGATCTATGATTCTCTCTCATCAATGTTGCATGTGCAGAGGCACAGAGCAGAAGCAGGACACAGCTTAGGAGACACGCAGGTGGTTAGATTGCTCCTTTGGAGAACCAGCGGGGAGAGCATATGGTAATGGGGGCTTTGGAAAATAGGCAGCGTTTGGAGTCAGCCAAGGGGAAGATGAGAAAGGGAACTGACAGGAGGTAATAAAGAAGATAGACTGTGGCATCAAAGACCCAAAAGAGATGGGAAACTCATCAATGTGCATGTTTTTCATCTCAGACATCACCAGCCAGTACATAACGAGCCACTGTTCTAGGGGTTCTGAAGGGTATTTTTGTTTTCTAAGAATATTCTTACCTAGAGAGTACTGTCAGGTCATTGAAAGACAAGATGTATATATCTGCGAAGCAGTAATAAAATAGAGTGCTAACTGTTCTAGACACAAGGTTAATATAAGAACTTGGGAAAGAATGAACATGCAAAACTTACTTAGATTTTGGTGTGGAAACAGTTGATTTATGACATAACTAGTTAGTAAACCCTAGCTATCTAGGTCTCATCTTAATTATCATAGAAAATAATCTCTTTTTATTCATAGGATTATAAGACACGAGATGTGACTGACGATGTGAAAAATATTGTAAGATTTGTCCAAGAACATAGTTCATCTCAAGGAATGGGAAACAGAAACCATGTCGGTCCCTGTGGGAGATTCACCATGAATATGCTGGTTGACATTTTCTTAGGTAAGTGCTCTGTTTTCTTAGTTTGCGTTATATCGCCGAAACTGGCGTGGCTCAGTGGATAGAGCGTCGACCTGCAGACTGAAAGGTTCCGGGTTCAATTCCAGTCAAGGGCATGGACCTTGGTTGTGGGCACATCTCCAATAGGGGGTGTGCAAGAGGCAGCTAATCGATGTTTCTCTGTCATCAATGTTTCTGACTCTCTATTCCTCTCTCTTCCTCTCTGTAAAAAATCAATAAAATATATATTTTTAAAATTTTGCATTATATCAATTGATGTTGAACATCTAAAGAATTCTCTTGTCTGTTTTCTTATAGAAGTGAAGGGCTTCAGGATAAAACATTTTTCGACTAACAAAAGAAAATTGGTTTTTATGAATTATGCTGACTTGTTTTTCCAGAAAGAAACACTTTATGGTGTGTGTTTTTAAAATTGAGTTTTAGAGAGGAAGGGAGAAAGAGAGAAACATTGATCACTGTCTCCTGTATGCAACCTGGACTGGGGATCGAGCCCACAATCTGGGTTCAAACCGGCTTTTCAGTGCACGGGACCCCCTGCAACCTGGGCAGTGTGCTGACCAGGAACTGAGCTTTGACCTTCTAGTTCATAGAACAATGCGCAACCACTGAACCACACTGGCTGGGCTTTTTAAAATATATTCATTCATTTATTTTAACCTTCACCTGAAGATATTAATTTTTTTTAATATATTTTTTTCTTTATTTCAGAGAGGAAGGGAGAGGGAGAGAGAAGCATCAATGATGAAAGGGAATCATTGATTGGCTGCCTCCTGCATGCCCCTCCACTGGGGATTGAGTCCATAACCTGGGCATGTGCCCTTGTCTAGAATCGAACCTGGGACCCTTCAGTTTGCATGCTGACACTCTATCCACTGAGCCAAACCAGCTAGGTCTTTTTTTTTTTTTTTTTTTTTTTTTTTTTTTTTTTTTTTTAAGAGAGAGAGAGTGGGGAAAGGGTGAGAGAGAGAGAAACATCAGTGTGAAGGAGACACATCAATTGGTGTGCGGGGCCAACATTCTAACCACTTAGCAACACTGGCCAGGGTAGAAATGAAATATTTAATTGATGGCAGTGAAAAACACAAATGTTCCTTCTCAACCAAAAAAGGGAGAAAGGGGCTTAGAAACTTGAGGGGGAAAATTACACAGGAGACTTAAGATTATATGTAAAACAAAGGAAATTGTCACATGATTTTGAGTAATTGATAAAATCTACCAAAAAAAATAATCCATTTGCCTGAATGCCGTAAACATCCTCCTTCGGATTGCACAAGAGGCACAGCATGCCAAGTGGGAAAGGAAACTTATTAACTGTTGATTAGCTACAATACTTGGCATCAACATATAGACTTAAATATGGTTAGAGAACAGGACAGGATGTATATGTTCATCTTGATATAAAAGTACATAAATAAATAAAAATGAAAGAAGAGTACACAGAAGATTTGAGATGCTAATTTACATAGAGGGGAGAGAGGGTCGAAAATTCTATCTAAAGTTACCGAAACCAGTTTGGCTCAGTAGTAGAGCATCGGTCTGTGGACTGAAAGGTCCGGGGTTCGATTCCGGTCAGGGGCATGTACGTTGGTTGCGGGCACATCCCCAGTAGGGGGGTATACAAGAGGCAGCTGGTCGATGACTCTCTCTCATCGACGTTTCTAGCTCTCTATCTCTCTCCCTTCCTCTCTGTAAAAAATCAATAAAATATATTAAAAATAAAAAATAAAGTTACAGAAATATTAAATAGATGAACCAGTATTATAGCAAAATTTGGGGCAGGATAAAGTGAAGGGGGTGGCATAAATGAGATGAAGCCTCTTTCATATTTGGGGGTTCATCAGGTAAATGTCAGGTGGTGACCTGCTAGAGCAGGGGTCAGGGGGACCCTTTTTCTGCCAAGGGCCATTTGGATATTTACAACATCATTTGAGGGCCATTCAAAATTATCAGCTTAAAAAGTAGCCTGCTCTATTTGGGCAAACATTTAATTAACTCACCCTAATGCCTTGGCAGACCCAAGGACTCTGTGTGCCTTACACGGATCAGGCCAGATGTTCCCCACCCCTGGGCTGGAGGAATGACAGCAAGGATTAGGGTTCCGGTGGAGGTAACCACAAGAGCTAAAAACAAAAGCTGTTTAGAAAGTGAATCCCTTAAAGAAGGGAAGTGGGAGGGGTGGGTGGGGCCGAGGAATGTTGCTTTTAATTATAAGCCCTTCTGTACTATATAGTCTCTTTTTCCCAGATATCACATTAATTAAATATATAAACAAGAGGTTCCTTCATTTGAAAAAAATCAATAGCCTGGGTTGGAGTAAGAGGAGGATTTGCTCAGTTTCTCAGCTTTTTCCTCTGGACCGGCTCTTTCCTCAGGACAAAAGCAGCTTCAGTGCCAAGTCTTCCCTTGCAGGGTTCTTGCCTTCTCCTAGTTGGGACCTTTTTCAGGGGAACAAAGGATTGCAGATAAAACAACTTATTATAAGAGTTATACATGATCACTATATTGTAATATGTAGAAAACTGGAAAGAATACAGATAACCCCAGAAAAAACTGCTGATATTTTAATGTGTTTGCTCACAATCACATATTTATCATATTGTACGTATAATTGAACATTTTTATATAATCACTAGGTTCCCGTTGCAGGAAGATTGCTTCAAAAACGGGGCTTCTCGCAGGCTTCCCTCCGCCATCTCCCCCACCCCCACCCCCCACCCCCCACACTTTCCCTCCTGCCACCGCCATTCACAGCCATTCACCCTGGCCATGCTTTCCCTCCCTCTTCCTTCTATGCTGTCTTCAGTCTTCACTCCTCCCTCCCTCCCTCAGCATATGCAAATTAAACATAATCTTTGTTGGGTTAATTTGCTTACTCGCTCTGATTGGCTATGGGTGTAGCGAAGGTATGGTCAATTAGCATTTTTCTCTTTTATTAGTGTAGGTATGTAAGCATTTTCTTATTTTTTATTTTAAGGTAAGTTTTAATAATTTATATCTTCTCAGAGTAATGATGCATTCCATTTAAACAGACCTGCCCACACATGACCTCTATTAGAGCGTTATGGTGTGCCTACATTTACCAATCTAACTTTTTTTCCCTTCTCACCAGGGAGTAAGAGTGCAAAAATTCAGTCGGGGATATTTGGAAAGGGGTCTTCATATTCACGGCACAATGCTGAAAGGCTTTTTAAAAAGCTGATACTCGACAAGATCTTGGATGAAGACTTATTTATCAATGCCAACGACCAACCCATTGCCTATGTGATGCTTGGAAGTAAAGCGCAAGCTTTACTGAATGGGTATTTAAAGGTACGGCATTTGGCCGAGACCGGTTTGGCTCAATGGATAGAGCGTTGGCTTGGGGACTGAAGGGTCCCGGGTTCGATTCCGGTCAAGGGCATGTACCTTGGTTGCGGGCATATCCTCAGTAGGGGGTGTGCAAGAGGCAGCTGATCGATGACTCTCATCGATGTTTCTAACTATCTCTCTTCCTTCCTCTCTGTACAAAATCAATAAAAATATATTTAAAGGTATGGCATTTGAAATGTTGATTTTATTTTTATAATATCATTTTATTATTTTAGTGAGTAGACAGAAATATATTAATGCAAATTAAAACTCTCTTTTCCAAATTAAACTCTCTTTTCCAAAGCTTGTGGGTACTGAACTTATTTCTACTATCTTATATGAACATTTTGTGTTCCTCTTAATTTGCAAAGAGACCTTAAAATGGAACCCAAGTAATACAATAACTATCAAAGTGAACTTAATGGATTATCAGATCACTAAATCACCACGTATTTACTAAACTGACATTTGTCAAGAAATAATTCTGGCCAAAACCGGTTTGGCTCAATGGATAGAGCGTTGGCCTGCAGACTAAAACGTCCCAGGTTCGATTCCGGTCAAGGGCATGTACCTTGGTTGCGGGCACATCCCCAGTGGGGGGTGTGCAGGAGGCAGCTGATCGATGATTCTCTCTCATTGATGTTTCTAACTCTCTATCCCTCTCTCTTCCTCTCTGTAAGAAATCAATAAAATATTTTTTTTAAAAAGAAGAAAAGAAAAAGAAGTAATTCTGTACTAGGCACTAGGGGTACAAAGATGGAGAACGCACAGCCCCTGTTCCCAAAGGGCTTACTATCCACTTAGCATAAGAGAAGTATCCTCCCCCCAAAAAAAGGCAATGAAGCATTAAATAAAACACACGCACACACACACACACACACTCACTCCTATGATTTCTCTCTCTTCTCACTCACAGGTTGACTTCATGGAGACGGAAAATTCCAGCCGTATCAAGAAACAAAAAGCCTTAGTGACGAAGGTTTCCCAGCGGGAAGAGGTGGTTAAGAAGTGTCTCGGAGAACTCACAGAAGTGTGCAAATCTCTGGGGAAAGTCTTTGGCGTCCATTACTTCAATATCTTCAACACGGTCACTCTCAAGAAGCTTGCAGGTAGGCGTGCGTGAGCCTTCGTTCCGTGGCATCAATGAATAGGCCCAAGGTTAGCCTCGCTAAGGAACTTGCTAAGTGCATAAATGTATCTCGGGCTTTTGTACCACTCTTATTTAATCTCTAAATGAAAGCCCAGAGAAGCCATTTGAACTTATTCTTGAGACACTTTCTCCGCATGCTGGATGTTAGACTAGGATAATTGCAGTCTCTAATACCAGATGTTCCTTGATTATGTGTCCATTTGTGCCTGCCTTTATGAGATCTAGCTGTGTTATTATAACGATGTCTCTGCAATGAGGAGCCAACTTCCTCATGAAAAGAAACGATGTGTTATGCTCCTTTGAATCCGGATCAAGCATTCTTCTGTGTCTTCGGTTAATAAATGCCCTGAGTTATTGCCAAAGCTCCAGATAGCTCAACCAGAATTCTAATGGTAAAAGCCCTTGGAAAATAAGGTGTTACATGGGTGACTAACTAGTAGTGTGCGTTACCTTCCTAAAGTCCCATCATCATCACCTTCTCTCTCCTCCATTCCCGTTCCTAGCACCATAGGTCATTGTGGTACTTCATCAACTCTAAGACGCCATCTACTTTAAGACATTGCTATTTTATGAGCTATTGAGAAAGAAAAATTCTGCTATTTAAACCGGAACACGGCGCTTTTTGTTGAAAATCACTTTGACTTTTTCTGCTTGTACATGAAAAATGCATAAAATTAAAGTGAGTTGATTTAGGTACTTGTAAAAATTCACATTCAAAGCCTGACTTCCAAATTATGTGTGTGTGTATATATATATATATATATATATATATATTTTTTTTTTTTATTTTTTTTTTTTAAATATGTATTTTATTGATTTTTTTACAGAGAGAAGGGAGAGAGATAGTTAGAAACATCGATGAGAGAGAAACATCGATCAGCTGCCTCCTGCACACCCCCTACCGGGGATGTACCTGCAATCAACGTATGTGCCCTTGACCGGAACCGAACCTGGGACCTTTCAGTCCGCAGGCCGACGCTCTATCCACTGAGCCAACCGGTTCCGGCCCAAATTATTTTTGAATCAGTTTTCCATATCTTTGTTTTCCCGAGTGTCATTGAGAATGTTAGTGACAACAGCCTTTTTTAGTGTATTCCACTATTTTCCCATCACTCATTCCGGTTCGGTGGTCGTGGTTTCTTGGCGAAACCACAGACTGCCAGCAGAAGGCTGGACATCCTCAGCGGCAAATTCTCTTTCAGTTGTGGAAGCATTGAAACTTATGCTTATCAATGCCAAGTTTATCCCCCATGACTCCGTTTCTGGGTTTTCTGCATTCACAATTCCTTTTTCAGTCTAATCACAGCCTAGTTGTCTTGTAGACATTTTCTCTGGCACGTGAGGAACTGGCCCTGGAGTCACGCTGTGGCCGTGCCAGCAGTGCCCATGGCTGTGACTAAGCCCTCACGGGCACAGGCAGCAGCCACCACCTCACAGCTACCATTCCGCCGTCAGCACTTGTCAGACCAACCTTGGCCTCAGGAAAGTCAACGGTGAATAAGTGTCTTAGAGTTGATGAAATACAGTCTTCTGTTCCTAGGCTCTTAGTGTAGTTTTCTAACTGGTCTCCTTACCTGCAGATATGAACATGATGTATATTTTAATCTTTCAAAACCTCTGTTAGCCCTGACCGGTTTGGCTCAATGGTTAGAGCGCCGGCCTGCGGACTAAAGGGTCCGGGGTTTGATTCTGGTCAAGGGCATGTACCTTGGTTGCAGGCACGTCCCCAGTGGGGGGGTGCAGGAGGCAGCTGATTGATGTTTCTAGCTTTCTATCCCTCTCTCTTCCCCTCTGAAAAAAATCAATAAAATATATATATTTTTTAAAAACCTCTGTTGCTAAAACTGGTTTGGCTCAGTGGTAGAGCGTTGGTCTGTGGACTGAAAGGTCCCAGGTTCGATTCCGGTCAAGGGCATGTACCTTGGTTGCGGGCACATCCCCAGAAGGGTGTGTGCAAGAGGCAGCTGATCGATGATTCTCTCTCATCGATGTTCCTAGCTCTCTATCCCTCTCTCTTCCTCTCTGTAAAAAAATCAATAAAATATTTGTTTAAAAAAAAAACCTCTGTTAAAATGCCAATAGCTCTCCAGATAAAGTACAAAGTCTATCAAGGATCTGCATTTCTACTTGCCTTTCCCACTTCCTCTCCCACCAACGCCCTCTGTAAACCTTCTAGTCTGTCCTAAAGGTCTGTTCCTTTTCCTCTAAACATAGGAACGATGTGAAAATCGAAGATTTGAAATCCACCCTTTGCTGAAGTCTACGTAGGAATTATTACTCCCTCACTCCCCGTAGCCAGTGCATCAATGACTCCTACAGACCAGCCTCCCAAATGCATCCAGATCCATCTCTTCTTCATCTCTGCTGCGACATCCTAATTCGCGTCATCCTCGCTTGCTTCTCAGTGCCTCCCTCTGGGCTCCTAGTTTCTGTTCTTCCCCTTACAATCCATTTTCCACAGTGATTTTCTAGAGTGATCTTTAAAATGGCAGGCTTGTCCGGCTATGAGACTGACGCACCATCTGTGTGCAGAGAACTCAACAGCCTACTTGTTAAAATCAGATTACCCGCTTCACCCCACAGGCAGAAAGACAGGAGGAAGAATGGGTTTGGGTTGGAGGCGTGTAAGAATTCAGTTACGGGCCCTGGCTGGTTTGGCTCAGTGGATAGAGTGTTGGCTTGTGGACTGAAGGGTCTTGGATTCGATTCTGGTCAAGGACATATGCCAGGATTGAAGGCTTGATCCCTAATAGGGGGTATGCAGGAGGCAACTGATCAATGATTCTCTCATCATTGATGTTTCTATCTCTCCCTCTCCTTTCCTCTCTGAAATCGATATATATATATAAAATTCTTATTTAAAAAAAAGAATTCAGTTACGGTCTTTTTGAGTTGGATATACAAGTCTGGAGCACAAAGGAGAAGTCAGAGCCGGAAACATGAATGTGGTCATTCTCCTAAATAACCTTTATTGTGAGGAGATAGCAAAGTCTGCTTAAACTCTGAGGCACGGCGCACAGTTCCTCTCCGGTTACCCTGGTTACCCTGTGTCCTTTGCTCTCCCTTTCTCTCAGCCCTGACCTAACGCACCTTTGCTGCTGGAATTGGATGATGGGCTCCTGCCCTCTGGGCCTGCCTGCTGCCTCTGTTGGCACCAACTGCCTGGCAGAAAATTGGCCCATGTGCACAGTGCTCTGCATTTAGTTGGCACTTACCAAGCATGTGCTGAATGGGTGGATGAGCACAAATCCAGTGGGTTTTCTGTTGGTGGTCATTTAAATTCCTGCTTTTATGTTCATGCGCAGAATCGTTATCTTCCGATCCCGAGGTTTTGCTTCAAATTGATGGTGTCACCGAAGATAAACTGGAAAAATACGGTGCAGAAGTGATTGCAGTATTACAGAAGTACTCCGAGTGGACGCTGCCAGGTTCAGTATACAGCCAAATGCGTGTTTTCTGAAAGCCTGTCTTCATGTTAAGCGGTGCATCTCACCGGATTAAGTCTCTGTGGTTTCCGGGTGTGTTCATGCTTCGGACACATTGTCACCCTGATGCTCAAGTGCCCAGGGCACTGTTTAGTGATGTGCCAGGCACCTCTTCCAGGACACTGATGCTTGGGCCCCATGCGGGATGCCAGCTGCCAAACAGGCTCCTAGGACCCAAAGGAGGACCTTTGAGCCCAGAGCTTGCTGGTTCTGTTCAGGCAAATACCTGGGGAACTCAGGGCATTCGCCGTGGTCGGCAAACTGTGGCTCTTTGGCCCCTTGAGTGTGGCTCTTCCACAAAATACCACGGCCTGGGCAAGTCTATTTTGAAGAAGTGGCGTTAGAAGAAGTTTAAGTTTAAAAAATGTGGCTTTCCAAAAAAAAAAATATCAACCGTTGTGCCAGTGCCATTGGTAGTTGGCTCTGGACGAATGAGTTTGCCAACCACTGGGCTAGTGCAGCTCCCAGGCCTGCCACCATCTCGCTCTGTGGTCCTTGGCAGCCACACATAACCTTGTGCTTCAGTTTCCTTATCTGAGGAAGGAACATGTTGTCTGGAAAGCGTGACTGCAGATAAAATGGAAGAGTGGAGTTTAAATACTTTGGGGAAATGAGCATGGAATTGTAGCGCTAGATGATCTTATTGTCAGCTATTGAAAGAATCTGCCCGAGTCGGTGCATCACTAGCAGGTGTTGCCAAAGGTTATATCAGGCCTGTCGCGAAGCATCTCTAACTACAAGCCCCATCACTTCTGAGCCATAGAAAGCACTGGCTAAGATAGTGACCAGACATCCCGCTTTTGGCGGGACAGTCCCGATTTTTAACAATTTGTCCTGCGGCGTTTTTAAAAAAGGTCCCGATTTTATTTTTTTTTTATTTTTTTTTTTTAAAGAAAAATCGGGACCTTTTTTAAAAACGCCACAGGACAGCCGGCACCGGTTTGGCTCAGTGGATAGAGCGTCGGCCTGTGGACTGAAAGGTCCCGGGTTCGATTCCGGTCAAGGGCATGTACCTTGGTTGTGGGCACATCCCCAGTAGGGGGTGTGCAGGAGGCAGCTGGTCGATGATTCTCTCTCATCGACGTTTCTAACTCTCTATCCCTCTCTCTTCCTCTCTGTGAAAAATCAATAAAATATATTTAAAAAAAAAAAAAAAAAAACGCCACAGGACAAATTGTTAAAAATCGGGACGTCTGGTCACCTTAGGCTAAGAGGAAATAGAGAGCAAAGGAAGATGCAGGAGACAGAACACGTACAAAAGTCTTATGGCCTCCTCCAACATGCTGCCATGTGATAAGATACGGCAGGCAGGCCAAGTTCAATGTCTTTCCTGTTTCTGTAAGGGATCTCGGTAGGGGTTTCTTTTCCAGGCTAATGGAAAAGTCAACAGGCTGAGAAAGGAGTGAGCATGTGTTTCAAGTTCTGTCTGTTCCTGATTGTTTTTCATTCATTAACAAAATGCTGCAGAATAAGGTTTTCATACATTCCTCAGCATCGTAATTACCCCATTAAAGGCCTTGCTTGGACAATAGTGGCAGTCCCTCGGTGGGAACTTCATGTTTGTTTACTACAGTAACTTGTTTGGAAGGGTTTTTCCCACATGAGACAGCCTGGTGGTAATTGCTGCCACTATTGAGGGACAGGCACTGTGCCAAGAGCTTTGTTTTGTATCGCTCAGTCCTCACAACGCCCATTTTATTTTATTAATATATTTCATTGATTTTTCACAGAGAGGAAGAGAGAGGGACAGAGATCTAGAAACATCGATGAGAGAGAGACATCAACCAGTTGCCTCCTGCACTCCCCCCCCCACCGGGGATGTACCCGCAGCCAATGTACATGCCCCTGACTGGAATCGAACCTGGGACCCTTCCATCCGCAGACCAACGCTCTATCCACTGAGCCAAACCGGTTTGGGCACAACGCCCATTTTACAGGTGGAAATGGGTGAGGCCTTTTCATATCCCCAAATCCCACAGCTGGGCCTTTCTGCTGGAACTAGTTTTGGAAGGACAAGGTCCATCCTGTCCTTTTTACCAGGCAGCGAGGTAGCCTGAGGGTGAACCAAACCACCTTCAGAAAACGGAGGAATGCATTTATCTGTGGGGGTTTCATGTTCTTTCCATGTGTTGGGGTGCCCATACCTGTGGAAGTTACCATCTCTTTGTGTGCTTCTTTGTGTTACTCATTTGCTACATGCTATGTGAAGTGTCCCCCAAAACAAAGAGGTATTTTTGTCTTTGAAGAGGAAAATATGGCCTGGAAGTTTCTGACACTTACTAAGGAACTGTTGTTCAGAAGTGAGGTACAGAGCATAGTTTATGCTTCTCTTATATTGAGTTATATTTTCAGCATATGTAAGTTGATAAATAAAATTTATCTTTTATATAGCACATCATACTTTTAAAAGATCTTAACAGGATTAACTACCCAAATAGTAACAGGTATAGGTCAGACACACAGATTGGAGCTAAGCCTGAAGTCTCCAGTTGAGTTAAAGAGTATCACAGATTTTTTTTTTTTAAATATATATTTTTATTGATTTCAGAGAGGAAAGGAGAGGGGGAGAAAGAGAGAAACATCAATGATGAGAGAGGATCATTGATCAGCTGCCTCCAACACGGCCCACATTAGGGATTGAGCTTGCAACCCGGACATATGCCCCCACTGGGAATCGAACAGTGGCCTCCTGGTTCATAGGTTGATGCCCAACCACTGAGCAACACTGGCCAGGCTCACTACTTTTTAAAAAATAAATTCTTATCCTCTGCCTTTAAAAAAATAAATTGCCCCTGAGAACTTTGGGGCTTTGTGAAATTAAAGAAAAAGAAATGTTTAGCTCCTGCGGAATTGTCAAACCTTCGTGGCAAGAAGACACCAGGAAAGCAGGTCGGTGTCGGCTGCACGGTGTGTGTGTTGTGCGTCTCCGTTTAGAGAAACGACACTGGCCCAGCGGGCATCGCCGGTAAAGGTCTGCGTTGTCCGTTTGCAGCCGAGGACAGCTCCCCGCAGATGAGCCCGTCCAGCAGCAGAAGCACCGCGAGAAACGACTCGGAGGAGTGCGACGAGGAAACACCTGTATCTTCTCGCTACTTTGCAAATAAAACCAAAAATGAGAGAAAGAGGAAAAGGATGCCAGCCTGCCAAAGGCCTAAAAGGAGAAAAACTGGTTTCGGTGATTTCAAGACAAAAGGGTAAGTTCTGCAACCCGGGGCATCAGGGGGGAAAGTACGAAAGCGCAGCTGCTTTGCTTTCCTTTTGAAGCATTTGATAAAACATGCCATTGTTAAATGCTGCTTGATCCTACGTTCACTTTAGCTTTCATTTTCTTTATTTTTTTAATATTTTTATTGATTTCAGAGAGGAAGGGAGAGGGAGAGAGAGAGATAGAAGCATCCATGATGAGAGAGAATCATCGATCAGCTGCCTCCTGCATGCCCCGCACTGGGGATCAAGCCCGCAACCGGGGCATGTACCCCGACTGGGAATCCAACCGCAACGTCCTGGTTCATAGGTCAACACTTAACCACTGAGCCATGCCAGCTGGGCTGCTTTAATTTTTAAAAATAATCTACTCCTAAGTCGATTATCACTAAAACTTTCTAGTTGGCAAAAACTCCAATTTTGACTTGAACTTAGAAAAAAAAAAATTTTGTAATTGCTCTTCTTAAGAATCTTTTCCACCTAAAAGACTACAAATCATAGACTAGCTGAATAAACAGAAACCTTTGTTTCCTCCTTACTTTTTTTTTTATATATATATATTTTATTGACTTTTTATAGAGAGGAAGAGAGAAGGACAGAGAGTCAGAAACATCGATGAGAGAGAAACATCCATCAGCGGCCTCCTGCACATCCCCCACTAGGGATGTGCCCACAACCAAGGTACATGCCCTTGACAGGAATCGAACCCGGGACCCTTCAGTCTGCAGGCCGACGCTCTATCCACTAAGCCACACCGGTTTCGGCTCCTCCTTACTTTTATGATTCTGTCGGTACTTGTTCTACCACTTACATTGCCGCAGAGTCTACAGGCCTCCATGTGGAGGCCCTGCACACTCCCTGCCATTCATTCTGGCAAAGCCAGCCTCCCAGTCTGCAGGGCAGCAGGGAAGAGTCCACAGCAGGAAAATCCAAAGGTCAGGCAAGCCAGGCTTCGAGAGATTGCACGAATGGCCTCCATCCTCCATCTTCCCCACAGATGGGCTGGGACCCATCTGCTCTGGGCGCTGTCAGCACACCAAGGGGGAACAAAGGTGGTATTGTCAGGTGCTGGGTGATGATCTGGCCAGCGTTCTTATTTCTTCCTAGTCGCACTGCTTCCCACAGCCCCCTCCCTGTCTCCTGCAAGGACACTGTATTCTCACCAGGAGAGTAAGGTCTGGCAGGATCCTGACCATCCCCTCAGTCTGGATGGCCACCTCCCACATAACTGCCTGTGGTCACAGAGATGCTTGCAGGAAAGGGAAAGAAGCCCTCGGTAAATTTCTGGAAGCTGTCGAAACTGGTGTGGCTCAGTGGATAGAGCGTCGGCCTGCGGAGATTCTGGTCAAGGGCATGTGCCTTGGTTGCGGGCACATCCCTAGTGGGGGGGGGGCAAGAGGCAGCTGATTGATGATTCTCTCTCATTGATGTTTCTAACTCTCTACCCTCTCTCTTCCTCTCTGTAAAAAAATCAATAAAATATATTTAAAAAAATTTTTTTTCTGGAAGCTGTTGTTTTTCTTTGGCAGTTTTTTGTAACTCTCTTCCTTCTGGGTAATAAAAAAAATTTTTTTTTTCTTGAGGGAAGAAAGGGGAAGGCAAATGTAACCGAATTGTCACTTTCTCATTAAGTCTCTAAACAAACATCTTGCCTGGGCTAATTATTCTGCCAGGATACAGAAATTAAAAGCATTAGTAAATGTTAGTTCAATTTTGCGGTTTTTCATGCGCAAGTGACCAGCAGATGTTCCTCAGTGGGGACATTTTATTTTCTTCATGTATCCCTTCGTTTTGGGAAATACTTGTTTCCTCAGGAGCCCACACAGAGTCAGAGTCCTTAAAAGGCGTGTGGTCCAGCCCCTGGGGGCGTATAATGAGGAAACCAAGGCCTGGCCTGTGGGAGGCTTCCGCAAGGTTGTACCGGCCTAGACATGGCCCGCCCACACTTGCCCAGAACTTTTCTTTCTTTTTCTTTTTTTTTAATCCAAACTTAAGTATATTTTTCCTTTTTTTTTTTTTTAGAGAGAGAGAGATTGGGGGGGGGGGGGGGCGAAACCGGTTTGGCTCAGCGGATAGTGTGTCAGCCTGCGGACTGAAGGGTCCCGGGTTCGATTCCGGTCAAGGGCATGTACCTTGGTTGCGGGCACATCCCCAGTGGGGAGGGAGGGGGGGTGGAAGAGTCAGCTGGTCAATGATTCTCTCTCATCGATGTTTTTAAATCTATCCCTCTCCCTTCCTCTCTAAAAAATCAATAACATATTTTTAAAAAGAGAGAGAGAGCCAAAACCGGTTTGGCTCAATGGATAGAGCATCGGCTTGGGGACTGAGGGGACCGGGGTTCGATCTCCCTTCCACTCTGTACAAAATCAATAAAATATATTTAAAAAAAAAAAAAAAAAAGAGAGTGGAAGAGAGAGAGAGAGAGAGAGAGTGGAAGAGAGAGGGAAAGATAGAAATATCGATGTGAGAGAAACACATCAATTGGTTGCCTCCTGCACGAGCCCTGACCAGGGCCCAGGCTGGAGACGAGTCTGCAGCTGAGATACTTGCCCGTGACCAGAATCGAACCCAGGACCTTTCGGTTCTCAGGCCAACGCTCTATCCATTGCACCAAACCAGCAAGGGCCCAGAGCATTTTCATTTCTATCTGGGAGAACCTTAGCAATGGTTGTGGTTTCATTTTTACTTGTCAGACAAAAAAAAGCATATTTTAAGTGATCATCAGCTCCATCATTTAGCTTTCACAACTTTGGTCTATAAGAGTGAAATACTTGCCGAAACTGGTTTGGCTCAGTGGATGGATCGTCAGCCTGTGGACTGAAGGGTCCCATGTCCGATTCCCATCAAGGGCATGTACCTTGGTTGCGGGCACATCCCTGGTAGGGGGTGTGCAGGAGGCAGCTGGTCGATGTTTCTAACTCTCTGTCCCTTTCCCTTCCTCTCTGCAAAAAAAAAAAATCAATAAAATATATTTTTTTAAAAGAAGAAGAAGAAGAGTGAAGCACTTTGCCCTGTGGCCTAGAACCTGATCTCATAAGAAGTAAGAAAGCTCAGTCAGTTCCAAAGCCAGGCCCATTGGATGCTGGTTTTTAATTAGCCTGTGTGTCTCTGATGGGATTCTTCTTTGATATCCCTAGAGCCCAAAACCAGTTCGTTTTGTTGCCTTCTTTTATCTTTGTCACGGCCTCTTTGTGTCTGGGCCTCATTCTCCTCATTTCCCCAGAGCCTCTGAAAGATTCCCTCCCGTTCCACTGCTCACCTGGTTGAAGGTCCCTGCACAATGGCAGAGCAAACATGGCTCTCCGCCAGGGTCCTTAACTCTCCACCCTACCGGAACTCTGCCACTTGAGAAGAACACACAACGATGGCATTTCGTTCCCAAGTTATGTGCCCAGCTCCCTAAGTGGGAGTCAAATGGATGGGCTGCGTGAGGTGGAGGCTGCTGGTGGCAGATTCATTCTGTAAATCAACAGAAACAGCAGGTTTTTTGCTCCGCAGGAAATGTGCATAGGGAAATTGAGGCTGCCGCTCCGCCCGGTTGGCACATCTCTGCCAGTTCTGTGGTCAGGCTGCCCCTGGAGGAAGAGTTTCACGATGTTGAAAAACCACTCTTCCCCTAGTCCCACCAGAATTACCACACACCGGTAGCCCCGGATTCAGAGGCAGGAGGCCACTTGCCAGCCCCCCCAATGCTGCTGCTGTGGAATCCGTGTCGGGCATGAACTCAGCCTGGTAACAAAGCAGCAGGAAATACTCATGTAAGAAAAAGGCGTCCATAGAGAATGCTGCCAGCTGTTATCCTTGTAAACATACGTCCCGTGGGGTTTTTTAATTTACTTATTTTACCTTTTATTGGGGGTGGGAGGGCTGAGGGAAGAATAGCTATTGTCTTCAGGGAAGTGAGGTGCTTGAGGGACTTTGAAATTGGCTGTGGCCAGGGCTTGCGTCTTCCTTGACTGTAAAGGCAGCGAGTGGGAGGTACAAGAGCAGGCGATCCAGCGAGCTGCTGGCGACGTGGCGGTGACAGAGCCGTGCCAGACCCGAGCCCTCGCGGGCCTCCCCGGGGAACCACATCTGCAGCCTTCCCCTGGCTGGGGCTGGGCAGGAAGAGGCTTGACTCAGCTCTGCTCTGCCCTGCCTGCCTGCCTGCCATACCTCCATCCACCCAGCCACCTTTCTCTGGACTGTGCAATTCCAGAGCATATTATAAGGCATTTGGGGCCTTAAAACAAGATATCCTTGCCGAGACCGGTTTGGCTCAGTGGATAGAGCGTCAGCCTGCAGACTGAAAGATCCTGGGTTCGATTCCTGTCAAGGGCATGGACCTTGGTTGCGGGCATATCCCCAGTAGGGGATGTGCGAGAGGCAGCTGATTGATGATTCTCTCTCATCGATGTTTCTAACTCTCTATCCCTCTCTCTTCCTCTCTGGGAAAAAAAAAAAAAAAAAAAAATCAATAAAATATATATATTTTTAAAAACACAACAACAAAACACAAGGTACCCATGCTTTTCTTACATGATCAGAATAGATCTGGGCTCCGTTGTCCCGAGGGAAGAGTCTGGTTATCAGCTATGAAAGGTGAAGTTGGAGAGAAGGCACATGATTTGGCCTCGAGTCCCAGAATTCAGAAACAGTCCTTGACATTTTAGGGAGATAAATTTGTCTGGAGAACAGCAGAGTCCTTGAATTGTAAATCAAACTGACCTTACCCACGGAGTTAAAGGCAGAGAGACCGGTAAGGCCAAAGAAAATCATGGGTTATTGCCGAAACCGGTTTGGCCCAGTGGATAGAGCGTCGGCCTGCGGGTTTGATTCCAGTCAAGGGCATGTACCTTGGTTGCGGGCACATCCCCAGTAGGGGGCGTGCAAGAGGCAGCTGATCGATGACTCATCGATGTTTCTAACTATCTCCCTTCCTCTCTAAAAAAATCAACAAAATGTATTTTTTTAAAAAGAAAATAAAAAGAAAATCATGGGTTATGTAACTCTTTCAGATTAAGAGAAAAAAAAGACTTTTTTGGGGCTTTTATATAACATTTCCATTTTCTTTGTCGTGTTCTAGGAGATCCACCACATGCAGAAAGGCATCTCCTAAGACTCAATCCTCCAGCATCCCCAGGCCAACATCAACGGCACGCGGTCCTCAGGCGGCTGCAGGAATCGGTAGAAAACTGGGGATTATGGCTCCACCAAAGCCTGTGAACAGACCCTTCCTCAGGCCTACGTTTGCCTTTTCCTAACAACCAAACCTCCGTGTACAGAGATCTTGTTTCTGGTCTGTCAGCATCTGACCATCTGTGAATATAAAGCTGTTACTTTTGTTATGCCGTGTATAATTTTTACCCGTATCTATTAATGTTTCAATAAATGCTTGGGGTGACAGTTCTATTTTTACAGTAAACATTTTCTTTTGAATAAGCATGATTTGCTGCCGCTGCAAGCCTTGCGGCTGCTGATTCTGAGAACCTCTGAAGCGGCAGCTGAATCATCTCGGGGAGAGAAATTCGAAGCTCGCATGAAACACAGAAGCCGAAGGAAAAGACACGCATGGGACGCTGTAAAACTTTCCGTAGAAGACATGAAAAAAATTAGAAACCGAGAAAATAGCCAAAAAAATTATGACAAAGGAGAGTAATACCTGCAGTATACAAAGAGCACTTCTAAATCAAGAAAAGACAGACCGCCGAAACCGGATTGGCTCAGTGGATAGAGCGTGGGCCTGTGAACTGGAAGGTCCCGGGTTCGATTCCGGTCAAGGGCATGGACCTTGGTTACAGGCACATCCCCAGTAGGGGGTGTGCAGGAGGCAACTGATCAATGATTCTCTCTCATCAATGTTTCTAACTCTCTATCCCTCTCTCTTCCTCTCTGTGAAAAATCAATAAAATATATTTTTTTTTAAAAAGAAAGAGGACAGGCCAGTAGGAAAAAGGGTGTGAGTAGACTCTCAGAAGAAGAAATAAAAACGGCCCACCAATATGCAGGAAATGCTCAATCTGCCGAGTTAAACATATAAAGGAGCACAATAAGTTGCCATGCTTTTGCCCATGGAATTGTTAGCACTGAATAATACCCCCAAAATTTGGGAACAACAAGAAAATGGTCAGACATCCTGTTGGTGAGATATGTTAAATGTTGGTGTAGTCCTTCGGTATTAGGGGGCCTTACCTTACAAGACCCATCCTGTACACCTGGTTGGCCAGAACGTCTTAAGGTGGAATTTGGCACCTCTTTTCGGAGCTCCAGTGCCCCATTTTTGGAGAAATCCTCTTTCTGAGCTGTAGGTGACTTTGGTGTCCCACTTCTTGACCAGAGTCAAGTGAGTCAAGCTGGGGAGGTCCTGACTGGACCAAGGATGTTAAGGCCAGTGACCTGGAGCCTTGTGGCCTCTGCCCGGAGACTCAGTATTGGGATACACCCTGCACCCATCTTAAGGGACCACCCTTGAAGCTGCACACCTGCTGACTGCCACATGGGGCCTGAGTTTGACACATTTGACGGAGGAGACTGGCTGGACAGGAGTCTGCTGAGGGCTGTGCACTCAGGATGCCTCCCAGGGCTGACATTTTTCAAGAAACCAACCTTCCAGCAAGTCCTGGCAAATGGCCAGAAGAACCTTCTTGGAGTGAGGAAAGGAAGGAAATGGAGGGCAAAGTAGCCAGCCGACGAGGCTGCTGGGATAATGTCCCCCGTGTGAGGCCGCCTTGCAGAGGTGGCGGTGCCCGAGGACATGTGGCAGAAGGTCATATCCTCCCACCGACAGCGGTGCTGGCTTCGAGGGGTCGGTCGCAGCCCCCTGCACAGAGCTGACAGCACAGATGTTGAGTCACTTCCCGGCTCTGACCTCACTCGTTCCTGTATGAAGGACCTCATCTGCCTGGACAGTGGAGACTGCTGTCCCTTAAGGGGTGTCCACTCTGCCTCTAGGGGCTCTCGGGCCAGGGGCAGATGGGTAGAGGCAGTGCAGGGGGAGCCCCAAGTGATGGGGAGTAGAGGCTTTGAGCGGCCAGCACTACCCACTGCACTGTCACCTCCATCTTTCATCCCACCCCCCAGGACAGAGCCAGCTTATCCCCACCTTCTGGCAGGAATCCGAGGCCTGGAGACCTTTGACCAGGATCAAATGGCAGCGCCAAGCCCAGCACCCAGCTTTTTAACAATTGGAACAGGCTCTTCAATCCTTGCAGGCACAGGAAACACAGATCCATCCCCTGGAGAACGGCACTCATCCACTGGGGGCGATCGCAGGAAGACCGAAGCGCACTGACTTGCCCTGACCAAAGCGGGGGCCTCTGGCAGCCACAGACATGGTGGCCGCAAAGCCGCTCCAGGCTGGGCCCCAGGCAGGGCCCCCTGTGGGTGCAAAGGTCACCACGTGGGAAAAGGGGAGGGGCCAAGTCCACTAGGGGCTTCCAGCCTAGGACGGTTCATGGGCCCACCCTCGTCATCACCCTCTGGAGTTCACTGGGAGGACTGGGATTTTTATATTTTTTTTTAATTGATTTTTCACAGAGAGGAGGGGAGAGGTATAGAGTTAGAAACCTCAATGAGAGAGAAACATCAATCAGCTGCCTCTTGCACACACACCCACTGGGGAATGTACCCGCAACTAACGTACATGCCCTTGACCGGAATCGAACCTGGGACCTTTCAGTCCGCAGGCCGACGCTCTATCCACTGAGCCAAACCAGCCCCGGCAGGACTGGAATTTGACTCCAGCTCTACACACCTTCTCCACCACAGGAGCTCAATCTGGAGAGCTGACAGGTCCTTGCTTTTACCCCCAGGAACAGGGGACCCATTGCCTCAAGGGAAGAGGAGAAGCATGGACAGCTGCTCCATGCCAAGGGCTGTTCTAGGAACTTTCACATCATTTACTTCCTCCTCTTTCCCTCCCCCTCCCCCCGCCCCAACAGCCCTGGGAGGCAAGCACTGGATATTGGCCTCTTTTTTTTTTTTTTTTTTTTGCAAAAAAACAGTCCAGAGAGGTTATGTAATTGCCCGTACCCACACAGCTAGGAAGCGGTAGTAAGTAGGGTAACCTACATCCCGGTTTGCCCTCAAGAGCCCCATTGGCATCTGCTCCCCTGGTGGAATAGTTAAGACAGTCCCTTTTCATCCTCACAAGTCCTCCGTCTGGACAAGATAAGGAATCCAAGTCTGTGCTCTTTCCTCGGACCATCCAACCTCCTCTCCCACCCCCGTTTTTCCCCTCCAGAGCCCCAGGGACCCCTTGCTCAGCACTGCAGGCCCCGGGGGGGAAGCTTCAGCATTCTGCAGCCCAGCTGAGCTGCGGTTTTTCCCCAGAAGAGGAAGCGGGGGCTGTGGTCCAGGCCCCCTTGCTCTTCATAAGAAACGGCTGCTTCTCCTTCCACAGCTGGGAGCTGCTCAGAGGCCCGCCCTGTCTGGGAGGTTCCCAGAGTCTGGACCCTCCAGCTCAAAGCAGCAGCCATGGAGTTCACCGAGCCCCAGGCTCCTGCCTTGGCAGAGGACAGTGGCCTGTGGGTGGAATCCACTAGATGTTGCAGCAGCCGTGGCCTTTGTGTGGCCTCCCAGGGTTCAGAGAGGCAGGCTAGTGGGGTGTCCCCAGAGACCCACTCGCTGAGCAGGCCCTGGTAGGGGCTTCAGTCGGTGGGCTCAGCCCTTGGTTACTGTGAGGCAAGGATTCCATTTCTGCCATCTTGGCAGGGCACCACCTAAGTCACTAGGATAAAGTTAGCCTTTATTTTATTTATTTATTTATTTGCTTTAATATATTTTATTGAGTTTTTACAGAGAGGAAGAGAGAGGGATAGCTGAAACCGGTTTGGCTCAATGGATAGAGCATCAGCTTGGGGACTGAAAGGTCCCGAATTCGATTCCAGTCAAGGGCATGTACCTTGGTTGTGGGCATATCCTCAGTAGGGGGTGTGCAAGAGGCAACTGATCGATGACTCTCTCTCATTGATGTTTCTAACTATTTCTCTCCCTTTATGTACAAAATCAATAAAATATTTTTTTTAAAAAAAAAAAAAGAGGCATAGAAAGCTAGAAACATCGATAAGAGAGAAACATCGATCAGCTGCCTCCTGCACACCCCCTACTGGGGATGTGCCCGCAACCAAGGTACACGCCCTTGACCGGAATCGAACCTGTGACCCCTCAGTCCACAGGCCGACACGCTATCCACTGAGCCAAACAGGTTTCAGCTAAAGTTAGCCTTTAAAAAGCCCTCATTACCCTGTTCTTCCCAGAACGACTTTCCTCTGCGAGACCCATGTTCTCCATTGGCAGGAGAGGAAGGAGGGAGAGAGCAATCTCCCAGGGAACGGGCCCCTGTTCGAGTCACTGCAGAGAGGACAGGACAAGAAGGTAGACAGAACCCCTGGGAGAGGAGGCACTCCCAGGCAGGGCTGGGGGCCAGAGGCTGGGTCCCTGTGGCCTGCAGGTGTGGCAGATGGGGTGTTGGCATCCTCACAGCATGGTTTTACCTCTCACAGAAGATTCAGTGACCAGATGGCCCCTAGGCCTGGTCCTGTTCAGGATGCAGTTCAGCCCAGCTGTCTGTCCACGTGGGTCCCCCACGCAGGCCACAGGCATTCCGCAGCCTGTCCTGGCCCCGTGTACTCAGTCTCTGCCAGGAATCTCGAGACACCGCAATGGTCAGACCCTGGGAGAACTCCAGGTCCCTGCTGCCTCCCTTGGGGACCCCTCGTGGGACAGAAAACAGCCATGAGCCTCCATGGTGACCCTCACTGCAGTTAGGAAGGGTCTGAAGAGCTTCCACTAACAGACTTTGAAATCTCAACCTGCCCTGGCTGGTGTGGGTCAGTGGATAGAGCGTCGGCCTACGGACTGAAGGGTCCCAGATTCAATTCCAGCCGGGGGCACGTGCCCGGGTTTCAGGCTCGATCCCCAGTGTGGGGCGTGCAGGAGGCAGCCGATGGATTCTCTCTCATCATGGATGTTTCTATCTCTCCCTCTCCCTTCCTCTCTGAAATCAATTTAAAAAATAAATTTTCTGCCGAAACCGGTGTGGCTCAGTGGATAGAGCGTCAGTCTGTGGACTGAAAGGTCCCAGGTTTGATTCCGGTCAAGGGCATGTACATTGGTTGCAGACACATCCCCGGTGGGGGTTGGGGAGGGTGTGCAGGAGGCAGCTGGTCGATGCTTCTCTCTCACTGATGTTTCTAACTCTCTATCCCTCTCTCTTCCTCTCTGTAAAAAAAAAATCAATAAAATATATATTTCTTAAATAAAA